TCTCTGAGTTGTCTTATTGGATATAAAGAATGACTTTTCTTTTTCTGCTTCAAGACATAATACTCGTGCGCCTGATCTTGTAGAAACCTCAATGAACGCACTTTCCGGTGCATTGTCCTGCAGATTGTCCACCTGCACATTCTCCTGCTCAGCGTCTTGCCTTTTCTTAGAAGGAAAAAGTTGTTCTTGCTTCTGTATGATACGAACGTCTAAACTATGGGTGTTTGTCATTAGGTTGGGCTAGGTAGTGGCTGATGTATGAGGGGGCAAGCGTTCGAGACGGTTACTCATCTGACTATGATTGTTAGTTTGACAAACTTTGATGCGTCATTTGAATTTGATGCGCATGCGCTCCGTACAACAACGCGTACGATCTCACCGGATAATGTCTTTCTCCTATAACGCTACTTCTTCGTCTGTAGTTTTTGAAGTAGCTTTATAGAAGAATGACAGCTGATTCGACATGTCATGTCGTGATAGCTCTGTACTCGTCCTATCTAAGACTAAGAGTAGTTGAGGCCATGATATGCGTGTGCGTCAGCATCTTAGATTCTACTTATAATCTGTATTCAATAGACGGTCGGGGGCACGTGAATGAAGAAAAACGATGACGCTACTTGCATAGGGTCGGCCATCCTTGATCGCTCCTAGCAATTTTCTATGCTAATGGAGTGGAATGCTGCCCAGGTCAGTACTCCGAAACTGTCGACGGGACTTCTAGTGCCAGACTTCACTTCCAAAGAAGGGCCCAATATTAAGCAGGAGCATCTATTTTCCATCGTCCTAGAAATATCAGCATCTATTATTTCTCACAAACTTATATATAAAGAAGATGATGCCATAGTCTTATCCTCTGGAGGTGGTATCTCGGCCATGATATCGCCTAACAGATCCACGTCGCGAGCGCACGTTAGCGGAGGACCAATTTTTCCTAGAAAAGCTTCTACTTGGTCTAGGTAAAGAAGGGGCAAGGGCAGTATCGGATAGGGTCACGAAATACTCCTTGTTCTAGGTAAATGAGGAAAGTACTTAGCTAGGGGGAGAGTACTTAGTTAGGAGGTAGTTACTTATAGATATTAGTACGCAGACGCACCACCAAAAATCGTAGCTACCTTTAACCACAGACCAGAAATCTAGACGGCATAGGTTAGTAACTAAACTACTATAGTAGAACCCCTCTGACTAAGCCAAAACCTACGAAGTCGAAGAATGTTGGACCACAAGAACGCAGGCGGCTAAGCCTTGGCAGGTTTCTCACGGGGAAACGCTGAGCAAAGATCTTGCCCACAACTAGTCGCCACCGGACTCACAGCCTGGGGCGAGAGGTCCCTGGCTGGTTTGATCCCTGTGGGTGTTCGTTGGGGTTGCAAGGAAGTCCGCGCTGCTTCTTAAGGTATCACGATGATGGGCAACGCTTCGCGTGCTCGTGTGTTATTTTCATGCTATCGCCATCAGCTTCATCTCATGGGACCACCTAGGTCGATCTTGATACCCGTTTGGATCTAGCCAAGCTCACCCACTAGATAGATACGCGCCAGACGCAGACTATAGGGGAGCCCATCACATGACTACGCGACGACGATCCCCATGCGCTTTGAACTGGTCAAGACTGCAGCGACGATATGGGCCCAGCTATAGCTATGACGAACGTGCGGCACTTCTTCTGCCTGGAGGCGTTGAGGTCCTTTTGCCTGTTCTGTTGCTCGGTGTTTTTGGAACCACACACGGCGAGGCCCCCGGGGGATTTTTTTGGTGGTGCTTTGTCCTTGTCTGGGCTGAGTGAGAGATTGGCGCAGCGGATCCTGAGAGAGAGGAGAGCCCCGAAGGCACCCGCATAACGGTAAACCCGGCAAGCGTTTGGACCGTGCTCCGGACGAGTTTGCTAGAGGTGTGAAAACCACAAGCACCCGCGCCAACCATGTCCAATACGTTGGGGGTGGTGCCAATGGGTTGGGCCACCTTTTACGCCTGGCGGTCTTGGTCATTTTGGTGGCTTAATGCTTTGGGCCTTTCTGGATCTTTGTGGCGTTTGCATTTCATTCATGACCAACAATGGAAAGACATTAAGAAAAGAAACGGAAGCAACTTACCCGTCGTCCACAGGGTGGCAAACCTCCTGGGGGACACTCCTAGTAGCGAGATGAGATGGACGCACTTATAAAGGGGCAACAGGCAACAGGTATTCTTCTTCTTGGGCCAGAGCCTTCTTCTAGAATCATAGAAGATTTGTGAAGATTTCTTCGAGACGAGCATAAAACACGTACTGAAAATTCTTCCTAGCGTAGTAACTCTAACTACCTCCATCGTACTAGAAAACAACTCCACTTCCACTTGCAGTCGGTCGTCTTCAAACAAGTACTAGAAAAATCTTGTCCATCACGTAGTTGAATCCTCATGCTTCCACTCATTGAGAACGCCGAGAGGGGACTGGCGTTCCCCTATAGAAAGAGAAACTAGCCTCAACCCCAGAAACTTGGAGGCAATTAGCTTCCCAGTGTGTAGCAGAAGCATCCGGCCAGATGTTGCAGTGCTGTCAAAAGAGGCTGCCACCAAGACCAAAGAAGCAGGCAAGGGACACCAGGCGCCACAGGCTTACCCAATCGCAGAACAACTCGTGGCGACCCTCAGCGAGGCCGGGGGGCTTCGTCAGCTTCAGTCCTCGTGGCCTAAGCCCGTGGCCCCGTGCCCGGCTGCGCGGTGGCGCAACCACTGCCGAGGGGTCCAGTGCTGACTGCTTGGCCGCCACATGCCTGCGAGGTCGCGGCCTGGGTTCGCGGGTCACGGTTGAGGGCCCGCGCACCGGTGCCAAAAAGTCGCCGAGTCCAGTTTTCCTGGAGCGGCATTCGAAGGGGCTTCCGCGTCGGTTCCTTTCCCCCCGGCACGATGGGCACGCTTTTTCCACTCCTGCACTTTTGCGCTGAATCCGTGAGCCCAACAAGCTGCAACGGATCCAGGAAGAAGCCAGAAAAAGTGGACTCAACGACCGAGGGCGAGGGGTGGCGGCAGGGGTCGGCGCCGGTCGTTGAATCCATAGCCTTTTGGCCCAAAATCATTTCACTCACCTGCACTAGCGACGCTGACGGACGCCTCACGCGTGTGGCTTGTCAGATTCTGCAGCGGCAACCAGCGCGACCTCTACAAGAGGCCGCCAGGCTTCAGGGCTTGTTCCGCTGGGAGGCGCTGCAGACCTTCACGCACATCCTTCACGAGTTTGAGTTGCCTGCGACCCCTGTGGCGCTTGATGCGCTCGCAAAAAAAAAATAATTTGATTTCAAATTATTGGGGTTGAGGCCACTTTTTCTGTTCAGACCCCGCTTTGCCTTCTTACCTGGGAGCGACATCCTCCCAGCATCTTCGTTCTCAATGAGTGGCATCATGATACAGATACACTACTAGAAAAAAGAATCACTCGAGAATCAATCACTTGTGGAGTTATAGATTTTTACGACCAAAAAAATGGCGTCGCGACCGTAAAAAAGCGTTCTGCGAAACAAACGTCTGGAGTTGAAACCACGTACCGAGGAGAGCAGCAACAAATAGAGTGCCTGTAGATCGCAAACCTGGTTTCCTTTTTCCGCCACAACGTCCTCGCAACTGGAAGCTGCTCCTCTAGTATTAGAGGCGACTGAGCAGATGGCACTTATAAAATAAGTGAACAACCCAACACCTAAAAAACTGACTCTGAAACAACTTTAGCACAGACAAGCTACTGTGTCACTGGCCTTGGGCAACGACATGCTGGCATCTCTAGTGGTGGTGATGGTGATTACTGTACTATGTGCAGCTCTTTATCATGACAGACCTCCGGGACAGCATGATGATGATCTACAAGAACTTGTGAGAAGATCATAGATAACCTGTAGTATTTGTATGCCTATGCTCTTGCTCAGATGATGATGAATAGAACACCTCTAAATGAATATTAGAGCACGCTTTCTTGGGTGTACTTAGTTTTCGACAAAAAAAGCCATAGTCTCGTTTTGTGGACAAAACAATTGAGGTTGTCGATGAAGTGGTTGACGACGACGACGAAGACATTGAAGATAAGCAGCAGCTTGAACTGCAGAATGAAGCTGTCCCTCCTGATGAAGGCCCAGGAGATGGTGCTGAAGACTCAGGAGATGAAGCCCTAGTAGGTGTGGAAGACTGCAAGGTCTCTTTTCCAGCGCACAAGGTCCTCTGTCCAGCAGACTGCAAAGTGGTCTTTTGTCCCCCTGACTGCAAAATCGTCCTCCTGGCTTGGTGTTCAAATTCTTGTCGACAACTTCTACTGCCACTAGTACCAGCACATGAAGAAGTGGTAGTGGAACAGCTTTCCGTTTCCGCAGTGGTAAAAATAGAGGATATTAATAAGGACTGCGCCGAGCCTTTCCCTGCTACGACCCCGGCTACTTGTCCAGATCGTCCATGTCCTCTCTCATCAGAGGATGAGGAGGGTGTAAATCCTAGACCCGAGTCCTCCATGATCCTTGCCGATTTGTTCGTTTGACTACTACTTCTGATGTTGCAGTGGAACGAAGTGCTGATGGATGCACAGCGAATCGTTGTTGCAAATGGACGTACTAAAAACTACTACTTCTTGTTAATTATACTCCTGCTTAGTTCCTCTTGAAGATGTTGCTTGTACTATTTGTCAGAAAGCTTGTACTTTTGACCACGACACTTTGGTCGCAGCGACCGCACGACGGAGTACCGTCCGGAGCAGGACGAGGTGGTCTCATTTTTTTGAAAAAATAATTATCCCAACTAATATTTTGGAAACAAAACAACATTCTTGAAACGATGAAGAATCGCACTGTGCGATGGCCATGTTATTAAGATTAAGGGGGACAGTTATATCATGTGTTAGTCCTTGTGGATCTCCGCTGCCGCTCTCTCTCGTCTCTTCTTCACTCGCAATTAAAACTCCTGCTCTGTATTAGCCTACACTACTGCCGTCGCCACTCAGAATCTCTCCGCTCGTCTGCATCTCTCTACAACAATGTTGCCCTGTGATTTTCTACTCATTCAGTTTCAGCATAGCACCTAGTGGTGAAATCTTTCAGCATAGTACCTAGTGGTGAAATCTTGCACTAAAAATGATGCCAGCAGCAGTAGTAGTAGCTTGTACCACCTCCTTGTTTTTACACCCGCCTAAAGAGAAGAAACAGATCCCCTTCGTCCTCCTGTATCTATGCGTATCTTTGTACATATTTTCACAAAGTCACTTGGATCAACCTCAGCTTCAACATATGTCATAATGTCACGGAAACTGAGATGAACTAAACGACCACGAAAATACTCAACGACCATGGATGTTAATACGCAATTTTTCTACGGATCAAAAATCAAATATTATATATAGTATACAGGCTGCAAGTATTCATCTGCAGTAGAGCATCAAGGAAGACCAGCAACGAATAAAAACATACTTAGAAGAGAAGACTCTGTGAACATATTATGAGTAATTCCTTCAGATAGATGAGTAACAACTATGTCAATTATAGTACCTGACAGTCCAAGATTAGAAAGATTGATACAAAATATACGGAAAAAAAATTAGAAATATCCCCCATCTTCTCATCAGTCCGATTTTTGAGTTCTCATCAAAATTTCGTGACCACTTGAAGATCAATGCCAGAGAGCAGTTCCCACAATTGTGCGTTTCCAGTGACCAGCTGTTGCTCTTTCCCTCCCGGTCCTTGTCCAACAGATTGCACTACTTGCTGCTGCTGCTGCTGCTGCTGTTGTTTTCTCTTCAGCACTTTGTATTCTTCTACACAGTTAGAGCTAAGGTGATTACCCAGCCGCGTGGCGGGTGTGCACCACAGTAATATTTCTTAATCATGGCTGTCCTTTTTTGCACATCTTCAGCAGCATCTTGGGCCCCCTTTTCTCTTTATAAACGGGAACAGGACGATGCCTCTGAAAATGGGAGTAGATTCCACCTTGTAGCTGCCTTAACATAGGCTGTAACTGTCGCCAGCAGCATTCGTGCATTGTTGGTGGACGTTAAGATGTCCAAGTCCCATGCGTACACGCTGTGCATCAGAGATAAGGTTTGCTCCACTGTCAGCAGGCACGACCCACTCATTTTCCCGCAGCAGACTAGAAGCAACACGAGGAACGGGGCTAGCATTAGAGTCAAGGCATCAGGAACAGGGGATCAACATTGTCACTGAGGGTGAGAGGAGTACTTCTTCTACATTGAAGATAGATGAGCACTTGAGTTGTAGAGACAGTGTTGACAGACTTTGTTCAACATTTGGATGAAGCAGAAGAACAGGACAACGAGGAGTCGTAGGTTGATATGATCATGCTGATAATACTGGTGGAGCCAGCCTAACTAGAAAACGCAAAAACCGAAAAAATAAAAGCCAGGAGGGAAGTACTTATCTACTACTAACTAAGCGCCGGCGTTGTCGTGGCCCTGTCAGCCCCAGAGGTCTCACCTTCGAAGGCAGGCATGCCGATAATTCATTGTCATTCCACTTGCGCAGCGATGAGTACTTATCAAGATCAAGTCGATTCTAAAACTTTATCTTTCAACATCCATAAGAAAGGCGAGTACAAATTGTCGTCCGCAAAGGAGTCTGCAACGATAGGCGACGCGTTTGACTTCGACACACTAGCTCCTCCCCCTGCGCGACTTGAGGATGCTGACGATCGGTGTAGTACGGTGTCCTGCAAATCAGGAAGCTGCAATGCTAACTGCAAATGCTCTCTTGCTTCTTGATTCGCTGATGGAAACGGTGCGTTTTTCAATGTGGAAGCAAGGGAGTTAGTGGAAGTGTCCTCAGCACCGCACGCGCCAGCTGTGTAGGCATCCACTTCGTCTGTAGTCGTAGCCTGTAGCTGTTCTCCTCTTATCTGCTGGTCTCCTGTACTCTCTGCTGACTCTGCAGAAAAGCCTAGTTTTGTCAGCGATTTCCTACGACCCGAGAGAGCAGACGACTCGAAGGACCTAATCGTTTGCAATTGCAATTCTGAGGTATCCTTTCCGTCGCTGTACGAGGCTGGGTCTTGTCGCGCTAGTAGTCTTCGAGGGATTAGAAGGGGAAGTATTATAAGTAGTAACAGAAACAGTCGGGGGTCGCGGTTCACCTAGTACAATCGGTGTCAATTGCATCTCGTCTGTGTATGATCATTTCGATTTATTCTTATTCAAAATGGACCACGACCAGCTCCAACAGTACCGCTAAAAACGTCATCGATAAAGATGATAGAAGCGAAAATCTAATCCTACTTGATGTTCAAACGAAAAATTACTACACTCACATGATGTACAGTAACCTTCGCCATAATTGCAGCATGGCACCCGTGGTCGAGGCTGTTTCGAAGGATGACACTTCTTCTAAGATCAAGAAGTCTTTATTCTTCCTCTTATTCGTCTCAGTCCCATCCTGCTCCAGCAGCAAGAACTTCCAAAAGGAATCATCTCTCAGCATCCCCATCAATTTATGAGGATCGGGGAATACGCAAACATCTTCCTGCTTTTCCTTTTGCTTCGCGATCATCGCATGATCCTGGAGATGGTGCTCCTGTCTCTCCGCAGTTGCAAACGCTCTGACATTCACCAGTTGTGGATTGCAGTAGTAGACGCGACGGCGCGTGTCCAACAGAAGTTGGGTAGTCCTATTCTCAACGGGAAGGCACGCGAAATCGGCACCCAAAAGCAAGACTTGAGATGCTACTACGCGAGGAAAATAGTAAACAAATGGCTGCTCCTCTTGATGTGGATGTACAACTCTGGAGTTGTTGGAAGGTCCTCCTGGTTTGTCTTCCACGACCTGACGACCCTGAGTATTGCTGATGTTGTTTTGCGGTTCCTGATCATGAAGATTTTTAGACTTCTTCTGCCTGTCCTTGACACCATCTTCACCCACAATTTGTTCAGGAGGAGCAGTTTGGAAAGTGCACAATCGGCAGTCTTTTCCTAGCAAGTTCACCAGACCAGAAGATGCCGTGTCCTCTATTGTCAGCATCGGAGTTGACGTACTTGAAAATGAACTGTCAGTGCCCTGTTGTTGATCGTTGTCCTCGTCCATGTTGATGTACAACTGACTTTGAAGATGTTCTACTACGTGTAACGTACGAAAGCCGCTTGAAGATGAAGAACTTGAAGAAGATGACGATCCACACCTGAGTGTTTCTATATGGTAACAGCCGTAGTTTTCGATGCACAAGCCTCCACCACCACCGCTGCCAGCCATACTTGCGTCCATTGACGCATCAGGTCGGAGGTCGTGACCTCGTCCTAATCCTAAAGAACAACCTCCTCCTCCACCACTTGTTATTCCTCCTCCACCTCCTCCTCGGTCCTTCATGGAACCACCAAATTTCTTCTCCGCTATCAATTTTCTTTGTTCTCTCCGATTTTCTATTATCCTAGAGTCCTGTTCTCTCCTGCGTCTGGTTGCCACCTTATGCTTCTCTACAACGACCGTTGGCAAAGTAGGCTTCTCGAAAATGCGTCGTATGCGTTCGGATTCGTCAATCATAGCTTTTTTCGACCGGAGGAACGGAGCATCGTGTAGGTCTTGGGTAGAGAGGGAGAAGGATTAGAGGCGAAAGATGGAAAATTTTCAGCTGGACCATCTGATGAACTGAGAGTAGAAGCAGCCTAGCCCTAGTAGTGCTAGAGCCCTACTTCTAGTGCTTGGAAGATATTGATTCTGACATCTTCTCGAAGTTTCTTCAGTGAACGATTGTCTATTCTTTTTAACCCTCTTTAATAAATTAGCCTCAGCTTTAATCCATTTTGGTCCCCTCATCTCGACCCCTTTCCCGACCTTGTATTTCATGAGAACACAAGGCAAAAGAGGACCAGGATCATGCCGAGAAAAACAAAAATGGAAATGGAAAAATGCTGACCATGAAATAAAGCCATAAAATGACAAAGCTGATGACCTTGCTCCACTTCCAGTTGCTCCTCCATTCTGTGAAGCAGATGCTGCTTTCTGTGATAAAGGAGACGAAGAAGGCGAGCTGATCCTTATCGCCTGAGCAACAGCTTGGAAAGACAGAAGGTTGGAAGCTGCACTATTCGCGTAGTTCAAAGCGTCTTTATCCGTATCCGATTCGTCCTTCCATATTCCTTTATATGGACCTCTGGCCGCAGTGGATGAAGTTCTTGTTGTAGTTTCCGTAGTACCCGTAGAAGTAGACAAAAATTCAGGCAATAGATCGGAATAAAAAACACTCTGAACTTCTCGAATGCTAGGTCGGTTCTGCATGTCGCGTACTAAGACGGTCCGAAGAAATTTCTCTAGGACAGACGAGTAGGCCAATTTCTTCACGTGTTTCGGCTGTACATTAGAACCAAAAAAGAGAAACCCATGATCTTTTTTATTCCCCTTCAAAACGTCGGTTTGAGCACCAGAACTACAAGATCATTTTTCAAGAAATGGAAGAACTACAAGATTCAAACACAATTTTCACAACTAGAAGAACTACAAGAATTAGATTCAAACGGAAGTTCCAGCTCCTTAAGTACAATAGGCAGTCTTCGGTTTAGCCCAAAGGCCATTACTTCCCCTTCTGTAAAGGGAGCACCCCCAGTGAGGACGTGGAAGAAAAGCACCCCACAACCCCACACATCCGCTTGGAGGCCGATGGAGACCGGAAGTTAGAGCAGGGTTCATTTGGGTTCATTTGGTTTGGAAGGCGTTGCTCTTGCTTCAAAAGTTCGAGGGGGATTTGGGTGGAGTAGAAGGCGTTGCTCTTGCTTCAAAAGTTCGGGTGGGATTTCACTATACAGGAAATACGGGAGGTGGATGCAAAGCTATGTAGTAGTACTGCTTACTCTATATTAGGATCAGCCTCTTACTCTTGTTTGTCTTTTTCTTAAATAAATATTGTCCTGTGGTGTGGGTGAACTACAAGACAGAATTTACAACATGCTTTGTCTCCGTAACCTTTCCTCCTGTCAAAGCTAGCCTTTGCACGGTCTTGCAAATTCGACTGTAAGGCCATCTCTGGCGGTTGAAGTTCAATCGCGCCACGCGCCTTCTCACCTCCCGTACCCGATTGTGACCATCCGATCGCGAAGTCTAAGTCCTAGGTGGTTTTCTTTGCTTTTGGAATTATACTAGAGATGATAGGAGATTGGAGTTGTTAGCGTTACGGGATTGGAACAAAGAAAAGGATGAAGCAGAAGTATCGAGCTGGACGATATAACAAAAACCTACATGAACGAAGTAGTAGGGAATGGCTCCACGGAACGCAGCCGGCGGTGGGACTGAAGATTTTCGGAATGACCGGAAAAAAATACGACCATGACCCTCAAATAAAATTTGGAATTTCTTACCTCGCCTCTCGTCCTCTCCCCCAGACCACATTCGTCTGCCGGCAGCACTGAGGCCTCTCCGAAGTCAGCTACGACCACATGAGGAAAAGGGTTTTTTGTCAGGTGCTGCAGCACTGCGCTACTCATCCTATTCTTAGACGAGCGAACAATCCAAGAAAAAGTGTATGGCAGCTCTGGCATTTGGTAACCTGCATTTGATCACAAGTATTCTCTTCTTCTTTTCCCTTAGGATCTCAAAATCAGGTTACCGAATACTAGAACAATACAAAAAAACTGAGACAGGTAAAGTGGCATTATTCTTGAGCATCATTATGGCGTCTCAAGGCCTCCTATGAACAAGAAGATGAACCAAAATCAGCTTTGAAGCAGAAAGAACAGTGCAAAGAAAAATACATGCTGAAAGTCTAGTACACTTACTCATCAAAATCAATTACTTCTACGACGGACTTGCTGTTTCTTCTCCTCTGTCTTCTTGAAGACGAGCCTTAATACTACAAGCCTTGCCGCCGCCTCCACTTTTTACGATATCACCGTAGCTTCGCTCCAGGTTCACGAAGAAATTGTCTGGTTTCAAGTCGTGGTGTATTATTCTCAAGCCCTGCAAAAAGGCCACAGCTTCCAGCATCTGCGCATACATTGCTAGACAGTGGGGAACAACTTCCGGAGATTAGATGCAGAGGAACATGGTCGAATCTCGGAGAACGAGAAGATAGAGAACTTCTTATAATGAAGGTGCTGATTAATCAAGATAAGTAGGCCTAGTAGGGCTAGTAGGGCTAGGTGTGAACTAGGATAAGAAAGTTTCAGTTGTAGTAAAGGAGACCACACGCCTCCTTGTTCTAGGTCAATCTTGATTAGAATCTTGAACTCACTACAACTACAGCAACCTGCAAAAAAAACCCATGTTGCCCATGCCCCTCCATCCATCCATCCATCTCCATAACAATAAAACCGGTTTATGAGTTTATGTTCGTCTTTGACCACTTGCGCTAAGTGGACTTCGCGATACCGCTGACACGATTCTGAATAGCGCGTCATACTGAGCCAAAATCTCTGTTGATCCGCAAAGAGAGCGTTCTGCGGTCCCAAAAAACCGAAGTTGAGCAATTGCGCGATGTGCTCACCTTGCAACCTGGATTCGTCCAAGCAACAAGTTAGAGCTCAAAACATATATAATTCAACACTTCTGCTCTCAGGAGAATCTTCTAACTCTAGGTACTTCAGATCATACTTCTCTACAGAATCAGAAGGAAGCTACGAAAATGAAGAAGAACTTGTGGAAATGAAGCTGAAACACTTTTTTTGACGCTTAAGAAAACTTCTAGGAAGAAGTCATGCAAGCGATTTCGCTTGCTTGCCGTCGGAACGTTCTGACTCGAATAAGCTGCCACGGTTTTCAAAACTGAGGTGAATTAGAGGTAGGTTTTTGGTGCTTGCTTACCCCGCTTTTTATGCCTTTCTCCCTTAGGAGAGGCATAAAAAGCGGTAAGAAAAGCACCTTTAACCTACCCTTAAGTGAAAGAACCGGAGTTGATAGCCGCTGCTGCAGACGAGGACGAGCTGCCTCCAGGACAACTGCTGCTCGTCTGCGAGATCATAGACATAGTGCCTCTATTGTTCTTGGTACTACCACCAGCACCACGACTCGAGCTACAACAGGACGCAAGCACCTGCTCTACATCCAAAAACGGGTTGGAAAAGAAAAACAGCTCAGAGAACTGACCAGTGGATTGGGCCATCGCCTCTGCGCCCTCAGCGAAGTCGGAGGAATAACGCTGCTCTGGAGCAACGATCTTTGAGGCTGCAAAGAGATCGATCTGTTCATTTGTACCCAGGCCTTCCTCTGTCCCACCAAAGAGTAGTTTCATCAGACGCAGCCCGCCAATACTACTATTTGACACACCACCAGTCGTGGTATGAGGACCAGGACCTCCACTAGAAGTTGTTGTTGCTCTTCCAGTATTAAAATCATCCTCCGTCAGAGAAAAGAACAGGTCTCGAAGACGCGCAGTGTTAGCTGCTAAGTGGCTGCGCAAAATGTTCGGTATGCTTTCTTCGTCATGGCTCGTTTCGTAGAAGTACCGCTGATCGAAAAAGCCTCGTTTCGTGAACAGAAGCTGGAGAATCAAGCTCAAAATATGGGTATGAACTTCCGGATTCCTGTACAAGTTGCCGCAGTGTCTCCTCTTCCAGTACCACCGGTTATGCTCAAAAATCACGTGCGATCCACTACCGGTAGTTGATGTCCCCTTCAAACTCGCCTTGCTGCTCCTCTGGGAGCGCGAGCCAGTGCGACTCTTGGAACCTCCGCCGCCTCCACTTGTTCCACTCATGATCTTAATAGAAGGGATACTCTGATGCGCTAGGGGCGGTGGAGAACGAAGCAAATTGTTGTTGGTAGAGGTACAACTGCCGACTCCGATCCCGCACAGAGGACCCCGTTCACCACGTGAGTTTGTTGTACTTGTGCCAGCCCCTATCCCCAAGCGGAGTTGTTCACGTGAGTTATTTCTTGTACTTGTTGTACTACCTCCTCCACTAGTTGCAGCACCAGGAACAGTAAGAAGCGAACTTTGCGCATTGCCGAAGAGTGGCGTTGTTGCTGCTGGTCCTGGAGCTGTATCAGTAGAAGTGGTCGTGCCATCTCCGACTCCTCCGAGGAGTGCTCCTCCTGATGTGTTCAGTGTAATACAACTAGAAGTAGAAGATGAAGTTGCACTAGCAGGAGCTCCTGTCCCAGTAGGGCCAGCTCCTATCGGACCACCTCCCGGAGAAATCGAAGACGTTGAAGGATCCCTCGTTGTGTTGTTCACCACTAAGTCCCCAGGTCTAAATGTCGCTTTAACAGGTGCTTTTCGCGCAGACAGTGGCGGAGCTTGACCACGTGCGGATTCTATCAGGGTCTGCTGTTCCCTTGTTCCACCAAGTGCTCCTGGCACTGTAGAAGACGTGTTTTCCAGGGATGTTGACCCTAATCCTTTTAGCAATGGAGGCACCACAACCGGAGCTGCAACACCAGTTGTACTTGTAGCTGGACCACTGATTATAGAAGAAGCTCCTGCCGAACTACCTCCTATGCCTATGCCTGTATTTGATATAGTACTTCCCAAAGGCTCCAGCAGTTTCCTAGGGGTCAGCTGCGAGCGTGGAGTCCCAAGCACCTGTGCGGCAGAAGCTAACATCGTGTCCCCTGAAAGCTGAGCCCCAACATAATCGGGCTTTTCGTGCGAACTTGGTGGTGTTCGTCCCGGTGTGCCTAGAAAGGTGGCTGGATTTTTGGTTTAGAGCTCTAGCTAGTAGAAGTTCGAACTAGAAGGACGGTCGTGCGCCTTAGTACAATGCGAATCAATCCACCCTGATGAACTTAATGACAGCCTCCCAGAGATTCTCTTGTTCTCGAACAAGATTTAGATGCATTACATCCTGTAGAATATTTTGATAAATATATGTATGTTTGGATCCCTGATTTTGAAACTGTTAGTACTAGTGCCCGTAGAAATTAGTCCTGATAGCGATCATGACCGAAATAGATCATAACAATTTGTAGTAGTTTTTTTAACAAGTCTCTCAGCACTTAGCCGTAATTATTCGGCAGATTAAAACTCGATGACACACTCTCACTTAGCCGTAATTATTCGGCAGATTAAAACTCGATGACACACTCCTCTGCATCTGTCTGCTGGCACCACCTGTAAAGAGCGAATACGTACCCGGCGTCTCCGGAGGATCTTCAGCGGGTGGCAAGTTCGCTATGTTGATAGGAGGTCCTGTAAATTTTGGTACGACACCGCCAAGATGACCTCTTGTAGCAGTAGAAGTAGAAGAGGAACTGGCGACACCTCCAAGACCTCTTGTAGCACTAGAAGTAGAAGATGAACTGGATCCACCAATGGTGAAATTACTTTGCTGCTGTGGTCCTCGTTGAGACGAGTGAGAGTGAGACATAGAAGTACCTGCATGTTGGAGGTATGGGTATTGTTCATCGCCATCATTAGGTGTCACGACTTGATCTTGATCTCTTTGATGTTGTAGTTGTTCTTGGCCTCTTGTTCTAGTGTTGAAGGTAGAGGAAGAGGTGCTGGTACTAGTATGACTATGACTATCATGCTTGGTATAATTTCGACGAGTCGTGCCTCCAACCTTTCCAAGCTCCTGCTGGCTCCTTCGTGATTTAGACGAGGAAGAAGAATTGGTAGATCCTCCTCCTCCGACAGGAAGGTAAAAAGAACTAGTACTGTTCGTCTCACCAGGACCTCCAAAGCCACGTTCTACCCCACTGATTCCTCTTACTCTCCTGTCACCATCATCGTCACCACCACCAGGACCTCCAAAGCCACGTTCTAGACCAGCACCTCTATTGTTCTGGTTTCCACCACCAAAAGCAACGTGTTTGCCTGTTGTTGTACTAGTTACCGTTGGAGGACTAATACTAGCGTCACTGTCGTCGTCATCCTCCAGATCGTTAATGTTCCACAGTGGCGGTCGTTCGTGCTGACTCTGGCTGCTGGTCGGCGTGGTCGGAAACGCTCCACTAGGCGTATTTGGTTCAGCACGATGCGACCCCTCTTTGTTGTTCTTGGCATTGGATGGAAGATCGTCGTGTGGCGTGCCTGGAGGCGTCACGTCATCGCCGCCACCGCTACCCCATGCTGTGTAAGGCGCCGCTGCCGCGGCTGCTGATGTAGTCCCACCTGCAGCTGTAATAGGTGGAACACGTCGTGCGGCAGACGTGCTAGAAGGTGTAGCTTCTTGGCCTGCTCCAAGAGACGAGGTGGGCTCAAAGGAAGAAGCTGAAGACTTCACCTTCATTTTGAGCGCGTACGTTAAAGCTCAGCATTCATTGTTCACCGACTCTGAACGGAAGAGACTGACGGACCCTCTTCAGGAAAGCTCTCCCCTTATTTCCCTTCGTTTTCCCCTGTTCTCTCAAGGGGTCGGTCGCCTCTTCGATCTCAGTGACCAGCTCCAATGAGGAACATTGAAAGTTGAGCCTTAAGTACGGACTCTTGCTTTTAGTACTTGATGACGATGCTGCGCTTGGACTTCTGCCTTGGGTCGCGCCACCCTTTGGATTGATGGCATTATTGGTGCTGTTATAGTTGTTTCTATTCCCCCCACCGCGTTCGCTCGCTCCACCGGGTGTCCATTCGCCACCAGTGTCCTCATCTCCTTCTGCGTCCGGTGACCTCGTATCTACAGCTTCCCTATCGGTGGATGGATCGTCGTCACTATCACCTCTTCTTAGATGACGAGGTTGTACTAGCGGATAAGGATTTCACAATCACATTCGCTTTCAATTATAGTTTTACAACATATTAACTTTAGGAACTGGGACTAAGCCGCAGCTGGCGGAGACTGTGGCGACCAGACGCACCATAGAGGACATAGTCGATCGCAATGACGACCATAGCACAACACACACAGAGCACAAAGAAATCCGGCGGGATCGTACGCGTCGCCCGGAGCGCATCAAAACAAACAAACAAACTACAGTATGACATATCTTCTGAGTGAAACTCCAAAAACATTTTGATTTTTGTACTAGAAATCAGTGAAGAATCTAGCATCTATGCTAGATCTCATGTCAATAAAACAAATTGTAGGATGAATGAATTGCTTGTGCTTCTTCAACGACCCTTAATCTACTTCTACTGCTACGACTGGTCGATGGCGGCGTGTCCCCTGTTTCGTCGTAGTGGTATTCGCCTGCCCGAACATCCTCGGGGCCTGCCTCATCCGCGAACCTTCGATCTGCTAGTCCCTGTGCGCCGCTATGATTAGTGCTCACTCTCTAGTTTCTGAATCTAGAAGAGAGTCTGATTCTCGTCTTGTTGGAGCTGCTTCACGCACCTTAACGCGCAGTCATAGTAGTTCGTTGTTCCAAGAAGATGCTTTATACATACGATGGATTTAATATTGAGGTTCGGTAGGCCTTAACACTGGGGAGGACCCCTAGCTTCGGAATGATCCCACTAGCCCTTTGGACAAGTGAAGGCACACGCGCACCACGCGGCTCACGCAAATTTGGAAGGGATCTGCCACGATCGGCAAACTTTCCCAGTGTCGAACCAGAGGAGACGCCACCACCTTGAGGGGTAAGACGAGCCGCGACAACGTTTCCATTGGCGTCTAGTTCCTGGCCAAATTGGTCATACTTTGTCTCTGGTTCACGGACTAAGCTCAAACGACTCGGACGGGCTGGCGCGGATGGGCCGAGGACCGCTGGAGTACAACTAGTACTTCCTGTAGCGGTAGCAGCTGAGGCAGAAACTATGCCTGATGAAGAAGAACCGCCACTACAACTAGCTGCTGTTGTAGCACCTTTTACTAGTACACCTCCTGAGTAAAGCATGCTTGACGCCGCAACTACAGCACTCCTTTGTTCCGCGGCTGGTGCGGGAGCTGTTACGGTAATGGCCATCTTCGATTGGGAAAAGCCTGGACTGACACTCCGAGCTGGGGGCGTTGTCTTTCCACTTCCGATACTACCTCCAATAGTGCTCCGCCCTATACCGATACCCCCTCCAAATGGAACCAAACCACCAGTCCCAGTGATATTACTATTTGAATTCTCGATCGTTTGTTCTAGATCAGAAGTCGCCCCGTCAGTAGTCTCTTTGGACCAGTGATCCGGTGCCTCTGCTATAGCAGCAAATTGCTGCTTCTGTCTTGCACGCGCTGACAAACGTGGACTTCGATAGTCAGGTGCTCCGGTCCCAGAGGATGAAAGACCTCCAGAGGTGCCTAAGCCTAATCCTAGTGTGCCAGCTCCTCCAAGACCCAGAATTTTGTTCGTCCTAGAGGAGGAAGAAGCAGCATGATCTTCGGAAGATGACAGGGCATTTGTTCCAGACGAACCGCCACCGCCACCACCTCCTGGCCCGCCACTGCGCACCCCAGGAGCTCCGGGAGAACTTGGGGCTAGATGCTGCTCTAGACTACCACTAGAATTGGAATTCGACGAGTTTTGTTGCAGCTGCATCCCACTACAACTTGCTGAGAAACCTCCCATGTTTACCTGTGGTCCATCTCTACTAGTAGCAGAATAGTTCATCATCGTCGAAGCTGATGACCGAGGAGAAGATGTGTTGCCTCCTTTCTTGACAGTCGGCACAAAGTCCTTCTCTAGTCGGTAACTGAGATGTTCTAGGACACTGAGACGCGCAGAAACCTCGACCGACGCAGTCAATCGAGAAGACGGCTTACTCCCCATCATCTTCGATGCAGCTATATTTTTAGACGTCTTTGTCCAGCTCTTCACTGCACTAGCCTGCTTTTCTATGACAGCGAACTCGAGCTCGATCTCACTGACCAGAAAAGGCATCACGCGGCACTCGTGAAAGGCACGCCGTGTATAGGCTGAACTCCCAAAATTGAGCAAAGCCGAAAGGACTTGGAGTGTCCGGACTTGGAGAGCGAGAGCTGCTTGTTCTATGTGAGTTGTAGAACTTGTCGGAACGCCAGAAGAAGAGCTATTCGATGCTCCTGAAAGGGTTATGGCAGCACCTGGAATGGGAGCAGCAATAGGTGGAAAGAGACATCCTCCATGTGACAGGCTAGCACTTCTGCTCCTCGATGAGGTTTGGGACGTATCTTCTACCAATCCAAACACGCCTACCCTTTGGTAAGCCGTTTGAAACGCCAGGAAAGGTATCTGGACCATGGTTTTTAGGTACGTCTGCCATCCTTCACGATCCAGGACAGCGTAGTGCCAAGCAGTTCTAGAGTTCGCCTGTCCCAACGCATCCTTGTTCTGAGACTCAGCTACTGTGTTCTTCGCAACAAATGATATCGCTGAAAAGAAGCTTTGTTCCGGAGCTGCAGGACCACCCCCTCCTGGGCTACTATAATTGGCCACACCCCTTGATGTTCCATCGTCCTGCTGCGGTTGTTCTTGATGCCCTTCCTCTCGTCCTGGTGACGAAGAGGACGTTGGAGATGACGTTGGTTGTACCTCTTGACTGCTGGCAAACTGGGCTAGGAACAGGAACTGGCATTCGAGGTAGACGAGCGAAATGTCGTGGAGGAAATTGTAGAAGTCGCTACACGTGACGGCGCAAAGGTATCTTCCTTCGACTCCTCGTTGTATTTTCCTCCTCACTTCCTGCAAAGTCCTTGCCGCCGAAGCAGTGCTCGGGTCAGCTGTCTTCAAGAAAAAGCGCATGTAGTCACGTTCGAAGAACGTGAAGCACCAACGCCAACAAACACTACCTGGCTGCGCAACTGTGACTAGAGTCCGCAATAGCGAAAGAAAATTCCACACCACTGATTTCGAAGCGTCGCGTGTCTCAACATATCGCCTGGCTGTACTTGGTGGTATGCTGGAAGCAGAACATGGAAATGAAAATTGTGCCGCTCCTTTGGTAATTATATTCTCGGAACATGATGGTGTAGTACCATCAGCAGCAGCACGGCCTTGATTTCTTGCTGTTGTTACTTTAGAGGGAGGCCCTGAAAAACTGGAATCACTGCCATCCAGCATCAATTTTACGCCAGAGAGACCAGTACGAGACAAGCGACTTGAGGCGACTGACTGCGTTTCCAAATTATTTCCTTCTGCCTCAGAAGCTGAAGAAAAGAGTGTACTCGAGGCGTCGAACTTCTGTTGCTGGTTCATCTTGCTGATGCTTCTGCTCAAACTTGTTGTTGCAGTTGCCAGATTCTTGAGAAAAGCTGCATCTTCCTTTTGGTGTCTTTCGAGATTGTGCATAGCACACTCTAACGCGTCGTGTATCAAGAAGAGGACGTCAGGAGAAAAGAGGAGATTACAAACTTCTTCGGAAGCACTCGCAACCTCCATACAACTCCCAGTCCCAGTTGTGCTAGCAATAGCAAGAATTATGCCCGCAGTTTTCGCATACACAGATACTAGAAGTTCGAAGCTACACCATTCTGATGGCAACATTGTGTCTAGGTCGACTTTCTGGACTAGGTACTCCTGCAAGCTTGTCAAGAGGGGCAGAAGAGTGCGAAGGAATAGTCTTGAAGAATGGCGAGGAGAAGCATCGTGTCGATGTCCTTCTACTACAAGCAACAAAGTGTGTGCCAAGCGAGTAAAAAGCGTTTTTCGTTCTGCAGGAATTCCCGCGAAGAGGATTGTGGTCCCCTCACGCAGCAAATTCAGGAGCAAGGTACAACTTTCGACTGCTAGTTGGAGGAAAAAAGGGAGGTCGCTACTTCTATTCTTGTCTTGTGAAGATGCGGTTGATTTGGGGACAAGACTTGTAGTTGTAAAGTTGTTCGAAGATGACGCTGACATTGACAGAGCTGCGAAAGCACCATCTCCTCCAGCTGCAATGGTGGTCGTGGGGGTACTACAAGAAGCATTAGTAGAGGCTATTGACTGCATATGCAGTAATGTCCATGCGCAATCTAGGAGACAGCCAGCAGAAGTTCTTGCGGTTCTATTGAAAAGCGGTTGCTGAAGGCCAGCCTGCGCTCCGCCAAGCTTCGTGTAGAGACGACAAAGGCTCGCAGTCGGAGCTGGTCCTGGTGCGCTAGACTCTACAAAAGAGGCAGAAACAAGAGGCAAAGTTGATGATGAAGTGCAGCAACGTCCTGTTGAAGGTGAAGAAGTATGTTGAACTACTTGAGCAGCCCCTGTTGTAGTACCTGTAGTGGAGGTAATCAGCCACCAAAGCAGATGTTCTGGCACTAGAGCTTCGATCTCTGGGTCTATCGGATTCCCACTAGCGCGCATCTCTCCACAGACGAAAAGCAGAAGTGTCGAAACTTGTTGCAGCAAGGCTGTGAGGCCAGCAACTTGCTCTGCTGTTTGGATATTTGAACTCGATGTCGCCACGGAGGAAGAAATGCTTCTATTTTGGTCGCTCTGCTGACCTCCACCACTGGTCGTGTGGGTACTAGACGATAGAACGTGACTGAGAGGCAAGTGTTGAAAGACGATGTCTGACAAAGACGATAAAGCTGCAGAGGGGCCTTGAAAACCAAGCAGGTCAATACCATCTTCTTCCCAGCAGGTCCAAGACCAACTAGTATTAGAGGTAGGTTTTTGGTGCTCGCTTGCCCCGCTTGTTATGCCTTTCTCCCTTAGGAGAGGTATAAAAAGCGGTAAGGAAAGCACCTCTAACCTACCCTTAATAGTACTAGACGACGAATTGGAAAAGTTTCCCCCGTTCACCACTCCATTGTATCGTCTTGCCTCAGCTAGCACCGAGTCGAGAAGAAGTGATGATCTACTTTTGAGTTGATCATGTGCTTCTTGCTCTGCTGGGCTTTGACCAGCAGCAGCTCCTTTTCCTTGTCCACCTTCTTGTTGAGCATCCTCGGGACTTCGACTTGGGGACTCCACTACACTTCGTGCAGAAGCATAGGCCAGGTCCTCCACGGCAGCACCTTTGCTTGTAGTTTGCTTGGTAGATCCACCTCGTATAGAAGTACCACCATTCTGATAGTGGTCGTGGTCATCTTGCTGTTGCTTGTTTTTAGATCTTCCATCTCGTAAAGAAGTACCAGCGTTCTGATACGCAGATGATCCTGCTCCGGAACCTCCTCCATTGTTTTCTTTGCTGACCTTTGCTGACAGCGCTATCTTGGACACCAAATCCATGTTCCTGCTGAAGAATTCGCTAGTCGCATCATCAGCAAGGGCAGTCAAGAGGTCGAAGGAAAAAGAAGAACCAGCAAGGGGATCACCTCTGCCACCATCGACATCGGCTCCAAGCGCTCCTCCTGCTCTTGAACTTGCAGCAGCACCGCCAAACTGCTGATGTCCCCCTGGTTGTTTTGTAAAAGTTGTACAACTACCAGGTGAAACTAAGCCCCGTGCTGAGCTAATGGGTGTTCTCGCATTGATGGCACTAGAGGAGGCTGCTGCTGGAGTCAAGTTTTCTTGATCCCTGAAAGCCCTCGTCAAATCCAATAACCGTCTTGGCGTCCGTGAAGTTGATGTTGATGTTGTAGGTCTAGTACAACTGCTAGATGCAGCCATGATTGGGTTGTAGCGATCTCTGGCTGAAAAAGAACCACTTGCTCCGCCATCTGTTCCACCTCCGTAGAAGTTGATGGTTGAATTCGAAGCCTCCCCTCCCAGAGAACCTAAACTTCCTAGACCACCCCTTGACGATGATCCTCGTGAGAGACTGCGCAAATTCAACCCTGGAGGCATTGGCGAACGACTGTGAGGCCTGTGCGAAGATCGTCTGCCTGTATTCCTAGAGGATCTAGACCTCTTCGAAGCAGACGCGGACATAACCGCCTCTAGATTGAGTGGTGCAAGATTGTGCCTAGTTGCTTTCACCGGACCCGTAGTTGAAGTACTAGATCCGACCACTACACTACTCCCAGAAGAAGATAGGCTAGGCTTTATTAGAAGAGGAGCTTCTTTACTGCCATCTTTACTCCCAGCGTTCCCAGGTGGTCCATCTGTTCCTGTGGAACGACCCCTCGCAAAGAACGACTGCTCCAAAGCGTTGTCCAATGCATCTTCGCCTTCTACTGAATTATAGAGCTCTTTAACCCCAGCGCCGGGAGCATAGCGACTCGTGCTCTTCGTGTAGGCGGAAGATGAGTCGACACTGCGATGACTACAACCAGGTGTATCTTCGTTGGCATTCATGTTCATGGTGCTGGAAAATCTAAGATCCTTATCAACAACACCTTGATGTTGACCTTTATTTCGTCCCGAGTGTGGTGGCGTCACCACTGCGACTACGGCTGCAGGAGGAGTCTTGTCTAGCTGCGGATGGATGTTCATGTTGGATCTCGAATAGGCAGATACTTGATCGAGGACATCTTCCGGTACTTCCACTCTTGTTCTACTGCCGGTTCCTCCTGCAGATGAAGTATTGGTCAGTGTCACATTCTCATTACTTCCACTATTGAGCATATCTCGCAACCGAGCTTCCACATGTCTCCTAACCACCGCATCACGTTTCTGCATCTGCGTCACGATCGTCTTGAAATGTCGGACCAGTGTCTCAAATAACGACGGTTCCTCACTCGCAAAGACGTTTTGTTCGCCTGCAAATGCTCCTTGACTAGCAGAAGACCTTGTGCAATCGTCCACGCTCAAATAGGTGGTCACGCGTGGGGTTGTAGAAGAGGAGACAACTACCTGAAGATCTGTAGTTGCGTTTGATGTACTACAACGGCCACCATTAGAGCCACCTGTGGTGCTAGAAGACGAAGTAACCGCCACTGCTTCTCCCACCACTGCGCCTGTTGTAGTCGTGGTCGTTGCGTCGTCTTCTTCTTGTAGTTGGTCCAGACTTTCTACAGGTGGCCTGAGCATTAGCAATTTGAGTATCCTATAGTCCGTTGCGGCGCACAATTTCGAAAAGGCCGAATATTGGTCTAGCCATTGGGTGCCTGCATCTCTGAGACTCAAGTTTCGGCAGAAATGTGCCCAAAGCTGCTTCGCAGCTGAGACTTGAAACTCCTCATCTGTGAGAAACAAGCAAACGACAGCCTCGATTTCGACAATGCACTGTTCTGCAGCGGTTTTGGCGTCTATTAGCTTCTGTTTGAGAGTTGCGACTTGTTCCTCGAGGACTTGATGCTTGTTCGTTGTGGCTCCTCCTGCTGCTCCTGTCGTGGTACATGTTAATACATCGCCTCTAGGAGAGATTAATGCTGATGTACTAGATCCAGTCAGGTTGGTGATGTTCATCTTCGCAGCAGAAGTTGCTCCAACCACTTCCATTGGCGTTCCAGCAGCCGCTAGTAACTTCAACTCCCCAGGCGCAAAGTTGAAGGACGAACTGAGCAGACTCTGGTCAAGGAGGAGAGACGCATTCCCTTCGTCTTCGCTGGGTGAACTCAGAAGGACAGTTGGAGAAGCGGCCATCGTCGTAATATCTCCACCTGCTGCGGTGCTCGTCATCAACATGGCACTATTATTAGCAATGGCGCCACTTGGTGTAGTTCCTAGAGATGCTGATGACGTGCTGGACAGAGCACCACCAGCACCTCCTGTAGTACTAGTGCTATGATAATACAAAGCATCTGTAGCAGATGTCCTGGAGGATGTGGCAGCCATCAGGGCATGAAATTCGTCCTCCTTCGGCGCCCCGACAGGGACTAAAATCCCATGTCCACACTCTAGATAGTCTCTAGTCAAGGCTTTGACAACGCTCGGCACTCGTGGTTGCGCTAAGTGGGATGCGAGCTCGGCTGGTGAGACGTTCTTGTTTTTTAAAAAGTAGTCGTTAAAGTTGTGGACTCGTCCTGCGCTATAATTTGTGTTGTTGCCGTTGTCGAGGGTCGTATTGGTGCAGTTGTTCCCAGTAGATCCATTCGAAGCAGCAGCAGCAGCAGCGGTACTAGCCGCTGCCTGTTCTAGTTGGTCCATCTTCGCGAGTCGTTGCACGGCCAACTTCAAAGTCGTGCTTTTCTTCGTGAGCACATCGAATAAACTTCTCATCGCATTCGAGATCTGGAAAAAAGGACTGTTTGCGATGAAACTGACGCCCTTCTGTTCCAAGATCTCTTTGACACGCCCCAACTGGGCAGGTGTGGGATCGTTTGGTGGTAGAAGATGCAGTAAGAGTGCGATCAGTTCCGCTTCGTCGACCTCGACTTGTTCCTCAGGTTTTTGGTGTTGTGGATGATCTTGATGTTCCTCTTTAGAGCTCTCCCCTATTCATCCCTGTGGAAATCAATCAAGCATATGCACCAGCAAAAATATCTCGTCCTCCCTTATATTGGGACACATGATGATGTGTTTGCTGGATCCCTATAGTAGGGATGAATTAATACCCTATCGTAGGAATGAATTAGGGGAAGCCACCTTAATATAAAAATTTTGGTCTCCTTCTCCTGCAGTTCTCGCTTCTTGTAGTTGAGGATCCCTAGAACAAGTATTGCTGCCTCCTCCAACAAGGGCCTTGTTCATCTCCTCCTGTCCACCACCTAGTACCAACAAGCTTCCAGCACTCGAAGCACCTCCAGCACCACCAACACGTATTAGGCTGTTCGTCGACGTCGAGGCGTCTAAAGAAGCGCCATAAAAGGCCTGTTGCACGGATTGGAATCTCCAATTCGGTTCTATCCAAGGTGTCCCGAGCAACTCTTCGCTATCGGCGTAGAACAAGCCAACATGGTCCGGAGAAAAACAAAAGTTGAGAAAAAGCTGAGCTGGAGCGTCGTCGGCTGTGGAAAAAGATGGAATAAACAAGAAGGTTGTTTGAAAAATAATTTATGTATCTATAATGAGATAGACCGAGGAAGGCCAAAGTTACCCAGCTATTCTTTTTACAACGAATAAAAAACAATCTTATGTATCTATAAACATAATATGTAAATGAAACTTGTAAAAAATCACTAACCTAAAGAAGCAAGTTGTAGATCGTAAAAAGTACCACCGCCACCTCCTTCTCGAGCCGTTGTTCTGGCAGAGTGGTAACCTGCGCGGCCTGAATACAGCGAGCCGCCTGGGGTCAGAGAACCTGCTCTGCTGCTGTCTGGATTCCCATCTCTTCCATCTCTTGTTTCTGACGGCTAGATGAAAGTACTAGGCCGCTAGAAGAAGATAGAAGTGCTTCTTGACGGTTGTTGTTTGTAGTAGGACCACGGGGATGTATGTGTATGAATTTCAGGTTTCATTTTCATCTCAGGTAGAGCATTGATGGTACTTAGACACACATATTTGCCGCGTATCAAAAAGTAAAAATAGTCTAATTGACCTAGAACGAGTACAAACGACCCTTACCCTAACCCTTACCCTGTTCCATAAAAAAACTCTGCAATGCTGTGATGTCAAACGTCGTTGCTCCACCACCTGAGGAAGGTCCAAAGAACGCTTGCGCAGCTGATCGTTCGCTACGTGCCGACGAAAAGTTCGAACTCGAGCCAGCAGCTATTCTCGCACGTCGATGTTTGGTCCATTGCCGTTCTAAGTTAGGTGCGCGCATGAAGAGAATCCGCAAAGAATGCGTTTGCTTTCCCGTAGTGGACGGTGACGTGGGAAGAAGGGCGTGACTCGATGTCGTCGAGGATGGATGCTGAGAAGCGCTTCTAGTGCTGGTGGACGTGTGCTGTTTTGAACGACGTGAAGATGGCATCAATGAAGATCAAGGTGAAGAACATGAGAAACGTGCTTCTTCGTTCTCCAAGGGATACAGATGACAGATAGTGCACGACCACGAGATGAATACAGTAACAAACTTATTTGAAATTCTTGGTGCAGTGAACAAGACAAGAAGGACTACTTCTTCTTACTACATCTCAGTACCTCCCGAAATCCATCGCAGCACATGAAGAGGCCAGTCGTCGCAATCTCATATGCGGCGTCGATGGCCGCTATTGGTTTGTCCAAGTACGCACTCGACCGAACCATTTCCCGTAATTAAAGCTCAGCACTCAATGGTCATCATGATGCTGAACGGAAGAGACCCCCTTCAAAGCTCTCCCCTTTCCCTTCCTTTTCCCCTGTTCTACTCTCAAGGGAAGAAAGCTGAGCCAACCGAGTACTTGAAAGCTGAGCCTTGATGATGTTAGTCGGTACGGATTGGACCTAGTACGACTTCCCTGAATCTTCTTTGAGTTCTTCTACGAAACGAGCCTTAACGTAAGAATAGCTTTAGTCTAGGAATCAAGTCCGTCTGAATCACTTCCAGAGCTCGATGTAGATCCTTACTGGGCAATTCCAATTCATTGTTCTGCCTCGTCCGGATCAAGCCAAATTCGGGTAGAGTGTGGTGTTCAATGCGGTTGAACAGCTTGATTGCGATCACTGGGTAAAAACGAGGACGATAGGAGGAACTACTAGAGGTGGACCCACGACTGCTGGAGGAGCCACTTGTTGTTCCTCTCAAGCTCCCGAAATAAGCACTCGAAAAGCGAGATGAGGAACTACTTGGAGGCGCTGCTGCTGCTGCTGATGCTCCCTCAACGCTTGCTCTTGAGCCTCCAGTAGTAGACCTTCCGGCTCTAGCATTGAGAAAGAAATAGACGGAGCCTCTATTGGCCCGTCTAAGCCGGTCTCGTGCCTTCTGCAAGTGCGAGACTGCAAGCTGCAGCTCTCGAGGGCTCCTCGTGGAAGAAGATGAGTGGTGGCCTGAAAATAGAGGGAGAGGGATACTAGAATGTTGCTTTTAGAAGTGGTCTTCAGCACATAATGTGCTGACATGGTCGTGAAGAAATTGATGTAGTATATATTATATTTAATAAGTTCTAGTTGGTGGACATACTGTATCGAGAAAGGAAAGCAAATACTATCGAGAAAGGGAATCTCTCACTGCTTGAAGGAGAATCCACAATTTCAACTTACCCGAAGCCACCGACGTCGGACAGCGTAATTTGACATAGTCATACGCCCCCAGGTCTTCCAACCTGCTGCGGGACGACGACATCGTGCTGCACTAGGAGAAGGACGAAGAACGGTCACATTTTTCTTTGGATGTTGTTGAAACTGATTTCACTGGGTTACCTCCAATGGTAGTACATGGAGATATCATGATCAAAAATCAAGTTGTAGAACGAAACAACTTTTACGTCGATGAATGAAATTATAGATACGGTCTTCAGAGAGAGAAATATTATAAAAGTACTACTTTTTATGACATTAGTTTCAAACATGCCCCTCGCGCAAAAGCAAAGCGTAGTCGTTCACTTTCAGTTTCCGTTTTCAAAGTAATGATCCTCGTGTCCAGTATCAGTTTTCTACTTATCTATCTATTCAATGTCAACATCTGCTTCTGCATAACATCAGCTGATCCAGTATCTCAGATACTAGCACAACTTGAACAAGTTGAACACAGACGGGGAACGAGTAGTTCTTCGGCACGACCTAGGCAAAGATTCCACTCTCAAGGCGGAATTTTTGCTTTCTTGGAATCGTCGAGTTCAACCCGGTTAACAACAACATCAGAGAGCATAGAAGGAAAAAAATGAAAATGTTGCGTAGCTGGAGGTCCTGTACAACAACATCGAAATTCCATTCTCAGCCGCGTTAGTTTCTGTACAATCAAGAGGATGAGAGCAAACGTTATAGATACCTTAGCAACAAAATCAATATCAGCAACTACTATTAATGTTGAAGAAAACATATGATCTTCGTAACTCTTACAATCCGGAAAAAACAATAGCAAACGATCAATTTACGTACATTTATTTCGCAGTACTACGGCTCCTCAACGCCAACAACGAAAAAGCTTAAAAACATCCCTCTTATCAGTCTTCGAAAAGAAGAAGAGGCAACGGTAATTCGGCTTACGCACGACCCATGTAATACTTGAGACCACCCGCGGCCAACAAGCAAGTGAAAACGGTTGCCGAGATCCTAGGAGGTGGTGGAAGAGAGAATACCATGAAGTTGCTAAAAAAAGGAAGTCTTGTTACGCAGATTGCCGAAAAGATTCACATCATCAATCTCATTGGCCTTAGAATTCAAGAAACTATTTCACTTCAAAGAAAGAAACTATTCACCTCTAAAAATGGTAAAAAACAAAGATGAAAACAAGTGGCGTGGATAAAAATAAAATAGTACCAGAAAAACCAGCTGTTGAAGAACAACTGCCTCTCGACCACAGGCTTCACATCGGAGCCATAGGCACTGTGGTGCTGCTTTCCTTCGGCGCCCTCAGGGTATGGGCCAGATTTGTGCTCCTTCTGCCAGTCTGCCTCATATCCTGCAGCATCGACAGAGGTGTCCTGGGGAGAGGGTGGGAGAGGGGTTGATGATTAAGAGCAGAAACACTCAAACATTTCAATTTTTCGTCTGTGGATACAGCGAACTTGTGAAGATTCATCCAAGATTCCACGATATAAAAAGCGAAAATACTGCTTTCGGCGGCACTCCCTCTGCAGCTGCCGGTGCCTGTCTCTTCTTTCCATCTCTCTCCAACAGCGCCAAACGGTTGGCCAACGTATTCTTTTTGGACTCAGCAGAAGCCTTAATAGAAGCAGCAATTGTTTGCGCGATATCCAAAGAAGTCTTATGCTGGTGCTGTTGGTGTTCTTTTTTCACCACCAAAGCAGAAGCACCTTCAAAATAGGAGGTGTAGCAAGCAACTGCGGTGGCAAAGATGAGACCCTTGGAGGAGAACGTCATTTTGAACGTGCTGGTGTGCTTTGGAGTCGCGCTCGAGTCAGTTTTAGTAGATTTAGAAGAGTTTTGGAGGACGCCTACTTGTTCGACGACACTCTCGAAGATGCTAGTTGTACTTCTCTCTATATCTCCTCTAAGTATCTGCAAGCACGGACAGTTGTGAGGTGAGGCAATCACAGATGTGGGGCAGCTACACCAGATGTTGAAGAACTTGAAGGTGCGTCTTCGTGTTCGTGTTTACTTAGCAAAATTCAAGCCATCAGCCATCACTGAAGACTGGTGCAGAACGTCCTTCGTTACTCGGTTACTGACTTCTCCTTCGTGAACACGTGTTGCTTCGCAGAGGAGACCTGCTTCCATGAAAGAACCTCAAGAGCATCGACCTTTCAATCAGGAGATCGATGAGTACAACGAATTTTTCTGTTGCGTAAACAGTGTAACGACTCCAGTATGAACATGTGGCTCCATACGAAAAAAGGAAAGGTACAACGCGTCCAGCAAAAGCATGATGAAAATGTGTGTATTTAGGTGAACAACATTCAAGGTATGGAGTATACCATGCTGAGATGAAGATCGAAACTTGGTCAATTTTTTCATTAGATGTTCGCTAGAAGAAGCACTTTTTTTATCGGCTAGTACATCTAATTGCCGTATTACTCGTGGCGTCGTGATGAAACATGTACTCACTGCTCTCTCGTAGTATTCATAGACAAAGTCGCCAACGATCAAACAACAGTTCCTATTCTCTTGCTTGATTATTTCTCCGAAATCAACAATGCTGAAGTTCTCTCTACTTGCGACCAAAAACACGCGCTTTCGTCGTTCTTCTGCAACAAACACTCGATAAAAGAGATGAAAATACAAGTAGTTCTTCTACCTCTGATCATGGTGCTGTTAAGATCCTATCAAAAAAATCTTCATCACACCGCAGGATCAACATCCATCGACACTGGCACCGCTCCTCCCGATTGCTGGTGGATTACTTGAGGAGCTGCGGCGCTGTTGCCAGCCTCTACTACGTTCATCACGAAAGGTTGCGCCTCGGTGTTCCAGGGAACGGTGGTATGAAAGCGGGAAAGAGAGGAAAGTTGGAACAGAGGAAGGGTGGAAAGAGAGGAGAGTTTGATCTTCTAGAGAAGTAAAGCGTAGAGGTAAAGTTTGATCTAGGAAGGTAGTAACATGGAAAAGTTTGAAGTAGGAGATGTAGAGATCTCGTAGTTGTGCTCTTCATAAGTATGAAGTGATTGTTCAATCCTAAAATATCCTAGGAGTTTTCATCTAATACAGCGCATCTTCATAAATATCAGGTATCGTATCCGGCATCACTCCATCCGGTCCCTTCATTTCCAAGTCTGACGGCAGCTCAGTCGGCATCACACCGTCAGGTCCTTTTTCTTCTTCTTCGTTTTCACGTGCTCCACCTTGATGCTGTGATGTGCTCATAGTATGACCACGACCTCCGCCAGGGTCACCTGCTTGTTGACCTTGCTGGTCGTGTGCTCCGGCACCTTGCTGTTCATCATCTCCTTTCTTCATCTGTGCCGCCTCGGCCTCCAACAAGTGGTCTTCACAAATCCGGATGTCAATATGATCGTCAGCGATGACGATAGACTCCAAAACGTCGGTTAGGAGAAGCAGCTGCTTTTTGAGGACGTCGAGACTCGGTCGGACCAGGAACTTCACGTTCTTTTGACGGCATCTGGAGAGAGGATCGAGATCATGAGATTATGAGTTCTGTTGATATTCCTCACGATAGTCGTAACAAGTTGAAGCGAATAAAGCGAAACTACTGGTGCTCTGGTATCTTCCATGCTTAAGCGGATCATCAAACAAAAACATGATGATCAATCTGTCGTTGTAAACTGTAAAATGAAAGTTGTACACTATGTCCCTGTCTTCGTGTTCGTAAACTGTAATAAAATGAAAAAGTTGTACTATGTAGTTAAGTACCCCTCACTGAGCTTTTCCTCTGTGACCCTATGCAGCGCTTCCCGATCTGCACGTCCATCCCCCATTGCTAGAACGTTCTTCCATCTTTGGTTCGGATAGCGGGAGTAAAAAGCCTCTATCACTTCTTTGAAGGCGTGTGTTTTCCAACCAGCCGGGGATTCGACTCCCTTCGGCTCGAACGTGGAACGAGCAGAAATCACAGTCATGTCCTGTCGGGATTGTGGGGACGGGAGTCATGGTATTGGCGGGGACGGGGGTAAAAATGGCGGGGATCATGGTATTCGTGCGTTTGATGATATTTGAAATCTCGACGTTGATCAGCATCAAATGTCTCCTCGTCGCGTAAGAAGAAATAAAAGAGAATGAACAAACTTCACATGATTATCTACTTCTGCTTCTAGAAGTACCTGCAAAAACGGCCACAGCCCTGGTAACCATCGCTTACAAGAAAGTTGCGCCCATCCTGTCTCTGCGTTCGTGATTATCACGACTCTTCCTAGCTTCAGTGATGCTCTGATGGCGTTCTCGGATATGACGGCCAATTCCGCGAGAAGTCCTTGTATCTGTTTCGGCACTTCGTCATGCACTGTAAGTCCGAGCGATTTCACCCAGTACGACGGATGGAGAGTGTCTGTTGTTTTCAACATTGATGATTTGCATCTATTCGGCGAGCTGCCTAAGATTTCCCAGACGAGTTCTAAGATTATATTGTTCTTGACAGGAGAAGGTGTCTTGTTTAGGAACTTCCTCATCTATAAATAACTTTATGATATAAATATGTGATACTTTATACCATCCCAATCTCAGATGATAATCGTCTGATCCAATTCAGGCTACTTATACCAAATTATACCGGAAGCATAAGTTGTACACAGTAGAACTAGTAGGAGAGCAGGAGTGGTCATCAGATGAAAGATGAGGGGGCACTCGTCTTCCTAGGATGATCTATACCATCCCAATCCCAGATAATAATCGTCTGATCTGGGTTCATGTAATCTGCCTGCGAGCCTGTCGTCATCTCACTCATTGTCCTCGCATGTCTTGTCTCTAGCATGGATGAGGACCAACTAGTCCCGCTCAAACTCCTAGGATGCGATATGTTTGCGCCTGAGGAAAGGGTACTACCTGGTGGAAGTGCAAAGAAGTGCAAAAAGAATAGTTAGAGATGGAGGAGGAAAGTTAATAGTTAATAGAAACGGAGCAGGAGGATGAATATATTTTCTAGGTAGATCTTCGCAGCTGTGTTTTTAGTCTGGTAACTTAAGTACTTCAATTGTCATGTCGAGTTATTATAGATCATACCACCAGAATGAGTAGGAGTACTAAGCTATTATTCAAGTAGTACTACTAAGTTATTTTTATAGATACCAGAATGAGTACTAAGCTATTATTCAAGTACAAGTGACGTATTTTACCAGAATGAGTAGTATAGCTTAATAAAGCTATTATTCACAAGTTTATTTAAGTTATTATACCAGAATGAGTCTCTCCCGATCCCGGCAGCAACCATGAGTCATCTGTTGGCATACTCGGGAAAGGGTACTGTATCGGTGAAGACACACCTCCTGCGAGTGCGACCCCTCCAACGTTTCCCTCTTGTGCAGTCTGATGGCCATGGACATTGGTTTCGCTTATTGCATCCAATGGCGGATGAAAGCCAGCTGTCGTAGTCCTCGGAGACGCGATATCCCTTTGCAGCTGGTGGCTTTGGTGCTGAGCAGGAGGAATCCCTGTCGTTCCTATGTGATGATTCTGGAAAGATGCTGAGCCGTGGTCGCAGCTTTGATCTCTTGGGTGTGGGTGTTGTACTTGTGGATGGTGCAGCCCCTGTTGTTGACCTATGTGGGCGTTGCCATAAGAGTACTGCTCTCCTTGATGTTGTTGAACTGGCATACTACCTTCATGATGCATGTGCATCCCCATTGCCATTCCTCCAAAATGATCTCTCTCCATATGTATCGACACATCTTTGGAGAACCTCCTTCTATCCGTCTCTGGACTATTCATTGCTTCGTCTGCCCAAGGGTTGCCGTCTTGAGAGACTCTACGTGCAGACCGGGACCTGCGCAACTCTGCGCGGGCAAAGTCTCGGAATTCTTGACGATACATGCTGGATAGATGCTGATAAGTATTCTGAACCTGAGAAGAGTTCATGTGGTGGGAAACATGGGGGTCTCCTACTCCTTGAAGATGTGGTGCATGTTGACCTTGTTGTTGATGTGGAGGTATAATCCCAGCAGCACCAGCATTATTTGAGGTAGAAGATGTCGCTGATTGATATTGATGCTGTTGTTCTGCTTGTTGTTCTGCTTGTGTGCTGTTAGTAGTGTTTGTGTTTCCTATGGGAGGAAATTGTTCTGTGAAGAAATCAGGGGATGAGAAGCTTCCACCTGGAGGTTGTCCGAGGAATAGCTGTTGTTGCTGCTGATCGCTTAATATTTGGCGTTGTTCATCTACATTCAAAGGGGGCGAAGTAGGGGGTCGCGCAGATATTATTCCTGTAGATGGTCCTCCAGTGGTCCCTGCTAGGTTAATAAGGTTTCTCGTGTCGCCAGAAGTTGAAGATGGAGTTGCAGCATAAAAATGTTGATTGGCATTGGCTGCATCTCCTGAAGGTAATAATGCTCCTGAAGCAGGTGCAGCTCCCTCCGCAGCGCCTCCAGGAGTTGTCGACCCCGCAGCCGTGCTGTCTCTCCTACTCGATGCCGCGTCAAAATTGATACCTCCACCTTCTTGTATCTGTGGTAGTCCTCCATGTGGCAAGAACAGTCGCGAAGCTCCTCCTAGAGAAATTATATCTCCTCCAGCGCCACCGACAGGAGTGGTACTGCCACCAGCCTCACTACTTGCTCGACTTCGGCTGAGAACAACACTGCCACTTGAAGAAACGGTGAAACTTGCACCTCCACCAGCACTGGAAGGAGGTCCACCGCTACTTCCTGGCGCACCACCGGCGTCGACTTGTGCGGCGCTGGGTCGGGTGTATGAAAATAGGGAAGTTCTTCAAGGCAATGAGCTTCTTTCTACTTAGTTCTGGGGACCAATAGTGGTTATAAAATAGGGAAGTTCTTCAAGGCAATGAGCTTCTTTCTACTTAGTTCTGGGGACCAATAGTGGTTATAAAATAGGGAAGTTCTTCAAGGCAATGAGCTTCTTTCTACTTAGTTCTGGGGACCAATAGTGGTTATAAAATAGGGAAGTTCTTCAAGGCAATGAGCTTCTTTCTACTTAGTTCTGGGGACCAATAGTGGTTATAAAATGGGGAAGTTCTTCAAGGCAATGAACTTCTTTCTACTTAGTTCTGGGGACCAATAGTGGTTATAAAATAGGGAAGTTCTTCAAGGCAATGAGCTTCTTTCTGGTTGTACTGGGGACAACTTCTAGGTATACAATGACCTTCTTGTCTGAATGGTGCTGGTATTTGGCAAGAACCTCAGGAGGAAAACAAGAACACTAGGACCCACACAAAGGCATAAAAACGATGCATTGTAAGACGCCGCAGATTCTGTCGATGATGTCGGGTTGCTCACATTCTTGTTAAAATTGTTCCACAAAAGGCTTGGATGGCTTATCAAGCTTTCGCTTGAATTAGAGCTACCGCATTAGCATTTTCCCTGAGAGGCACATCATCCTTGCAGGCGGCCTTTTTTTCAAGTAGAAAAAGCGCCAGGGTGGATGACGATACTAAGGACATGCTTCAGCGGTAGCCTTAATTGAGCTGCTCGATGATGCCCTTGCTAGCAGTCCACCAGGTTCCCTGCCCCAATGAATATTGATCGTCTCTAAGTTTTCATTGTCCTGTTTCATCTTAGAAGAAAAGGTCTGTGATCCTTGATGTTGTGCTGCACCCCCGTCAAGTAGAAGTCCCGTTGTGGTGGTGCCATTTTTAGAGGTAGGTTCTTGGTGCTCGCTTACTTCACTTCATCTTTTGCCTTTCTCATCCTGAGGGAGAGAGGCATAAAAAGCGGTAAGAAAAGCACCTTTAACCTACCCTTAACATTTGCATTTGCACCATTTGCATTTACTGTATTTCTCTCCACATCGGCACCATCTATTCCATCTACGTCCACTCCATGATGATGTCCACCAACTATATAGGCAGAAGCGCCGCCTCCGATAGTCCCCATTCCCATCCGAGAGGGATTAGAGCTAATATCCGTAATTCATCTTTCAAGTGCATCCTTGCAAAGTACAACTATGGGAGAGAAGTATCATTCCCTTAGGTGGATACTCACTCCTCCATACGTTCCAAGGATGCGTCCAAAGATCATGTATTACTATTAGGTAAACGTGCAGCCATAAAGGGAGATGACTTGCTGTTGCTTTGTCTTTGATGGCCACCATCTGTACGAGGATGATTGTTCCTCTCTAATTCGAGAAGATGGCGAGCCAGTGTTTGATCTGGATTTTCAAAAGCTTTTGTTGCCGAAGACGGCGTGGCAAGCCCGTTGTCAACAACGATTGAACCAGTGGGCTCCATTTTTTGTGCTTTGTAGTTTTTTATATTTTTATACCGACGACAATAAAAAGTTCAAGTTGTAGAAGTTTGTAGTGCTAGGCCTAGTGAGGTTCGTCGTGCTCGGCGTTTGGTAGTCGTGGTTACCTCTTGATCTTGTTCTTGCGTGATGTTGTTGTACTTGTAGTTGTACTAATAGAACTCCTGGAAGGAGTTGTTTCTACTGTTGATTTAATTTCTACAGATTGGTGTTGGGGGTATGCGCGATAGCACTAGTCTTTGACGCCATTGGAGTCGGTATAGAAGTCATGATGACATGATATTCACAAGAAAGCTGGTATCATCAAGTAAACCAAGGTGGGATTCTTTGCGGGTACAGTATGTCGCGTGAGGGTAGGTCGTTGCGGTCTCAGGATATTTCTGACTAGTGTGATTTCTTGTTCTTGTAGGTTTTGATGTTGAAGCAATAATAAATGCTCTAGTAGTACGTTCGAAGAAGAAGTATTCTGAAGTAAAATAAGAGAATCAAGCTTCCATGTTAGTTAATATTGTCATATACCTAATGATCCTACTTGGTTGACCACGGTCTCAGTCGCTGTAAGTATTCACAAAAAAAAAACTATCAATCCATCCTATCCAGCCTGAATCAAGTTTCGATGATGTCAAACCTGGTGTAGTGCACAACGTGCTCTAGTACTATCAGTACTAGACATCTTCGAAAATTACATCAATTTTCATTCAATAGCCAAAGAGTTTCTAAGAAAGCCGAATTACCAATACCAGTCCTCATTCGTCATGATTCAGAGAGTAAGATGAGAAGCATCAAAAGTAAAAGAAGCAGTCCTCGTGACACACAGAAAAAAGGAATCCTGTAGCCGGCAGCTGTAGTGTATGTAAATGAGTGGGTGCTGAGAGAGCAGCAGGAGAGAGAGAGAGTAAAAATCGTCTGAGATGAAGCTGATGTAATCAGATTTGCTCAGGATCCTGGTCAAGACTGCCTTACGAGTCTTGTTCATTCATCGTTGAAAGAAAGTCAGACTCTTACAGTACAGTAATATTGATCTCGCACAGAATTCAGTGCAGAGACTGCCGCACGGCGTCATAAAAAAGCAAGTGAGAAGCTACAGCTTTTGCATTTCGGGGACTGTTTATCTTTCGTATAGAAGGTATCTCATTCAGTGCTGTTGGTTTCGTGGTGGTCAATTCTGATTCTTTTCTTTAGAACGTCGGACCGTCGAGAGAAGTATAAATTCCGCGTGAGTTAGTCATGTGGATAGCGACAGGAGGATACCAACAAGAGCATTGGTAGTCCTCAGGACTGGTGGGATCCATTTTTCTCTTCTAGGATGTTGCCCAGCTCTAGCTGCGTGAACAACATCGTCGTCAAAGCGACTACTATATTCAAGGTGTATTATCCTGTCGCTACCTGGTGCAGCTGTATCAGGAAGGTGGTCATCTTCTGTACTTCTCACGCAGAAAAGCAGGATGTGATCATAAATGGTGTTATATCTTCCTTCTTGAAGAGGTGTGCCAGGTGTTTCCCAACGATAAATGTTGCGGAAATAGAAGAAGATAGAAGTAGAAGATACTACTTCGATCGTGATTTGACTCCTCCTCTTGCTTCTCTTTTCAGATTTCTTGCTTGTGAAGATGCTCGTAGATTTTTTTAATAAGTTCTTGTACTAGATTTTTGCTTTTCACTTCGTTCTTGCTTCTAAGTACTTCAAGGATTCAGTCTCACTCGTCTGAGGGCTTACACTTACATCGTCTTTCACATCATGACACTTTGATTGCGATTGCCCACGAGATGCTAAGAATTAGAATACTAACAACTTTTTTATGACAGATGATCACTAGAGGTAGTACAAGGACGACTCTGTTGCAGTTATAACTACACACTACAAATAAATTTTGTCTCCTTGGTAGAATAGTTTGTAGTAGCACAGACGTTGAAAAAGAACAGGTGGTCAAAGAACGAGTAGTTTCGAAGAACAAGGAAATTTCACATCTAAGTAGCCTATTTATCATTATAATGTACAAAGAAAGTAAAAGCCCGATCATTCATTCTGTCCTTTTATCATAGTGCGCAAGAAGATCTACTGGCTATGAGTTACTTAAACTTACCAAGTTCGTTGTACTTGTCCTTTGTTCTTCATGGTAGTCAGGTGGATTGCATTGCTCTACTAGTACCTCGTCCATCAAGGTTCAAGGTTCTAGCACCTCCATCATCTCCAAGACAGGTTTACAGTTTTTTCAATTTCATAGGAACTACAACTCGCCAAGGTCGAAGTAAAAGTAATTCAATCGTTGACGGCACCTGCTTGCTTATTTCTTGGAACTTATCAAGTGTCCTGCTCGCAGCCAGTCGTGCTGGCAATTATTGACTCGCTGCGGCGGAAAAAATCATTATATTTCTTATCTCGACGACATAGGCATTGACTAGATTGCATTCTGCTTCTGGTTTCTTAGATTTAGATTTACTTAGGAATACTAGATCTACCCCTAGTATTTCCGGCATGAATTGTTAAAACAGTTTTTCTCTGCTGCACTAGTACCTAATCCTGGTTGTATCTTCGTGATGCTATATATGGGCGGTGGAGCCAATCTAACTAGGAAAAGTAAAAGAAATGAATACTGATGATAATGAGAGGCAGAAGTTCTTGATGCTATATAAATACTAAGTTCTACTTCTTCTTCTTCTTGTTTTTCATGTTCTTCACACCTATGCCTCATATCAAAATTTTCTTACAAGTCATGATCTCTGCATTATAGCTACGAATACGAACCTCTCCAGCTTTCGATGTCGTGTCATGGTACCTCTTATGTAGCTACTAGTGTCTACTTGTGAGGGGAACCAGTTGGAAAGTACCTCCGATGGAGAGCCAACCTACCGGTATAATATTTCGAGCGTCGACATCTTCTACTTAGACTTCCAACGAATCCAAGTAGAGCCACAATTGATTCAGCCTCTGTTTAGCCTCCTTGTAGTCGTTTAGCTCGTTCATGCATATCTCCTTCGCCAATTGGATTAACTCGAACATCTGCTGAGCATCAGGATTCTTATTCCGATCCGGATGACAGTATCTGGCTAAAGTCCTGTACCTGGTTTGCACTTGCTTCTCTGTGAAGGATTCTAACGGCAAGCCGAGGACTAGAACAGCTAATTTGCGGAGCTTTTTGCAGAGAATTTGCGTTGACTCTTCGCGCCACAACTCGTAGGTGTAGCAGGCTAGAGAACTTCCTGCGAGACAGCCGACGATGGCGCACATGGCTGGGGAGAAGCCGAGGGATGCGCCGACTAGGCAAGCGGTGGCACCGCAGCCGTTGGAGTAACCGCTGAAAACGGCGTCTGCGAGGAACTGTTCTTCAGAGAGCCACTTGCGAGTGTAGGCAAAGTATCTGACAGCAATCCAACCCGAGCCAAGAATTGTGAGCAAAGCGGGAGTAGGGTTGAGAGCGAGCAAGGAAGCGCCACTGCGGAGAGGAGCCTGGAGGTGGATTTGTAGGATTTTTGTACTTCTAGGGGACGTTGAGTCTGAGTCAAAAAGATTATACGCTGAGTGTAGTAACAAAGAACTGTAGTGGACATGCATTCAGGCATCCCTAGATGAAAAACGTAAAGCTGCATATCACTTCAGACTTTCTATTCCTCGGGGTAAAAATACTAGTCGCATACGACCTAGTACTTTCTTCCAGTACAAGACGGGGTAGTTGATGCATGTAGTTGTACCAATGTGCTTCCCTGTGCTGCGTTGATCGCTTGCAGTATTGCCCAATAACATCCACCCACGCACGCTCCTTTACCCGCATCCAAAGCGAGATTTTCCGTGACGCCGCTGAAAGTACTCGAGGTCGCTAGTACCTCTGTTTCAGTGTTCCACCAAAGGTTTCGCAGCAACCCCAGTCCAGTCTGGACACCTATGCTCACTGCCAACGATGTGCCCAGAGATGGTGCTAGCACGTAGTCACTAGGAGAATGGGTTGTCGCCAGACCAGTACCAGCGGGATGCTGGCGGATTACGTGCAAGCCACCTCGCATAGGATCGACTTTGAACGTGTAGTGCTTGAGGGGAACCGGGAAGGACGAAGACGCTGACCCACTCAAAGACGAAGCTCCTGCAGAAGCTAATTCTGGTATCCACAGCTTGCCTCCTGCCGTTGTTGCAGTCGAGACCACTTTCTGGATCAGCCACGTGTCTGCAACATTTTTTAGTGCTGTGGTTGTGCTACTCCCCGTTGCGCCGAGGACGTAGGCAGTGATGACGTTGGGTGTTCCCCTGTAATGGACCAAACGGGTCTCATCTTCGAGTTGCTTATCGCGCTTTTGGAGTTGCTGTTTCACGTAGTCACGACAGTCAGTCGTGCTCCTTCCGTGGATGTGGACGTTTTCTTCGTCTGCGGGAAGAACGCTGGGATTGCCAGGGGAAATTTCGATTTCCTCCAAGTTGTTCTTGTTTCTACTAGTCGTGTCTTCACCTTCTTCATGTCCAAACGTGTGACTGCGGGTCCTCACCATGGAAGACGGCGAGTCGGACGATATCAATGTCCTATCTTCGAGGACAGTCGTATTTTCTTCATCTTCTTCTCCTGCTGGTGTCCTTTGTTCTTGTTCGGTTTCTCGACCTGCAGCAGTTCTGATGTTTCCAGTGTCGCTTTTCACCTGTTCCTCCTGTAGGTGCGCTACAGTTGTTGCCTCTCCTTCTGGATGCACGACCGCAGATGTCGATGACACCGATGATGGGGAGCGTGTTGAGCATTCATCATGGTGAGCGTGTTCTTGTTGAGCTGCTGAGGAAGATAAAAATATGTTCGGAACCAGTTGGAAAAGATAGTCAATAGGACTGCTACTAGAATTTGCATCATTCCTTCTAGGCGATGACAAGTGTTTTAGACCAGGATTTTTGTTCTCGTTGCACTGCTCCGGACGGTAGAGATGGACTCGACTAAAAATGCTTTTATTCTTGTGTCGTTCTTTGAGGAGAAGTGCTGCAGGAGCTCCTGTTGCAAGAAGACTTTTATTGTCATCCGTATGTTCTTGCTCAACACTTTCACGACGACCCAGTTGACTAGCACTATCTGCCATCTCATCCTGAGACAATGAGTGCTCCTGCTCTGCATGTGCGACACCAGAAGTGCTAGGACAAGTCGTGCCTTCCCTAGCATGAAGATCATGTCTACTCAGATGAGAGGAAATACTGCTCTGCTTTGCAATTTCGCTTTCGTCTGTGGTGTCGACGTCGTGCTCTTCTTCTCGAAGCAGCGTCAGTGGCTCATCGGGTGACCGCAGCAGGTGATGCTCGTGCTGATCGTCGTCGTGGTCGTTGGTGTCCGTATTGTTCTCGAGTCGAAGTTGAAGAGATGAATCGTCGCTCTCTTTCGTAGTTCTGGCTTGGACCTCGACCTTTCTATCATCCTCTTGGACCTTTCTTCTATCTGACGAGGACGATGATGAGGTTGAGGACGTGGCTCCACGACCTGGAAGATGCTGCTCTCTCGAAGTCGAAGCCATGATGATCATTTTCGATTTCAACTCTTCCTGCGGCATCAGTTCCTCGTCTTTGCTTACCACATCATCGAAAAACAAGCGTTGGCTCATGGTCGAACTATTCAACAGCGACGTCGATGACGATGACGTATTCAACTGTGTGCTGATCGTCGACATAGACATATCAGCGATAGCTGCAGCCGCTCTACAGTTGTTGTTGCGCTTACTCTCTGGCGTTCGAAAGGAATGGTCTAGTAGCTGAGTAGTATTGTGTGAGGACGATGGTGGAGGGCTAGCGGCATGTGTGGATGGCGACTGAGAACAAAACGAAGATGAGCTAGAAGAACCGTGCTGGTGTAGTTCTTTGTTCTTGTTGTCACAAGAACTGGTGCACAAAGCATCGATTTGCAGTGGTGGCAGCTGCTCTGCTTGAAGAGAATTCGCGGCACCATCTACTTCATCTTGTGGTCCATCGCCACTTCTCCCCTCCCCTTCTACTTCCACCACAGCGGCATGTCGTGGTCCATCGCCACTTCTCCCCTCCCCTTCTACTTCCACCACAGCGGCATCTTGTGGTCCATCGCCACTTCTCCCCTCCCCTTCTACTTCGTGGTGTAGAAGTTCTACTTCATCTTGTGGTCCATCGCCACTTCTCCCCTCTACAAAATCTTCTACTTCCACCACACTCATCCCAGTATTAGAGGTACCGACGTGCATCCCTGAGAGCCTCCCTCGGCCCTTTTTCCCCTTGAAAAAAGGGCTAAGGATGGTATTCAGGATATGCTCCAGCGGTAGCCTTAACAGTACTTCCGTCCCCGTCTTCTGAGAGAAGGATTTGTTTCACAGGCATTGCCGGTCCTGGCTTGAATTCTGAACCTGGTGCAATCCCAAGCATGTAATCTTCTAGTTTTCGGAGTTGTCCCTCTACGAAGCCCGGTTCTTGTTGATGCTGTGTGGTCTCTACTTCTCCAGTTGGAGGAGGTGCATCCAGTAGCTGTAATACCACAGGCAATGATATACTAGAAGTCATCTTGTTGTAACATATCTTATCGTGTTCTGATTCGTCTTCCCCATTCAACAGTGGTCTCCTACCAGTATACCCACCATCTGCATACGGTGACAAAGCTCCTACAAAGCCTTGATCTAGTGCTGCAGCTGGAATGGTCATGTTGTTGGGATCCATGTTGACACGACTAGACCCTCCTGCTCCGTGATACGCATACGCATACGGGTATCCACCTTCACTATAAGAATTTTTGAAGAAGATATTATACGGGGAAGAAGCAGTGAAATTCAACCCTGGTGGTACGTAGTTTCCAAACGTGAGACTCCTAAAGAGCTCTATCTTCGTACTCAAATGTCGGATGTGCGCGCATAGCATGTGAACGTTCACAAAGGTAATTCTGGCATTCAGAGCTAGCAAATCCGCTTGACGGACACGGTTGCCACGCCTCAAATGCTGCAAGAACTGCAGCCAAGCTGTGAATTCCGAGTAGTCGCACTCTACTGACACACACCGTCGGAAGTGGCTGTTTCTGAAGTAGAAGCGATGTTGGTACTTTCGGTTCTTATTCATCTTCATCTTATTGCTCGAAGAACCGTCAGCAGGTCCTTGTCCTTGAGAACAACCTTGATGTTGCGCCCGACCACTAGCACTGGACGAAGAAGCACAACTGTTGTACTGTAGTCCACCCTGCTGTCCTTGTGGTCCTGTAGTTGTAGTTGTGCCGTGTCCAACTTGCAGTCCAGCTGTTGTTGTGCCACTACCACCTATTGGCCCTCCTATGCCTCCACCTCCTCCAGCAAGTGCTCCACCAGTTGTGGACGAGGACATATATTTGTTATTATTAGGGGTTGAAAGTTGGCATCTCTAGCCCGCATATCTATGGCTTTCCTACTTGGAGAAACCATAGAGATGCTTATAGAGATGCCAACTTTCAAGCCTTAATATTACTCATACTGCCCAGAATATTCCCCCCAGTAGTTGCAGCTATGCAAGACGCCGCAGACGAAGTGTAGTTGTTATTCATCATGTAAAAGCCACTATTGCCATTGCCACCTCCTGCAACGACATTGCTCTGTGATGTAAAGGGTGGGACGCAACTCGTACTGCGTTGATCAGAAACCCAATCTGAGGTAAACAGCATGCTTTGGGGTGGGGCAGCGGCACTTGAGGTCGCGCTACCACGACCAGTTGTGTGATTTTTCCCCCTCGTATGGGCGCCACTGAAGATTTGGGCGGGATTTTCGACTAACTGGTATTGCTCTCGTTAGACCTTTCCTATATTCATCTTGACAAGCATCTTCATGGCGCATTTTTCCCTTAGAATGAAAGGGGGCCAAAGATGCTTCTTAGGATGAATTGCGGTAATATTAAGCCTTAATGGTGAGTGTTAGGAGAAGAGACCACGTGGTTGTGTCCGACAGCTCCTCCTGCATGCTCCTGGTAGTTGTTTTGCATCAAAGATGAAGCAGCAGTAGCCTCTTCGACATTCGCATTCGAGCAGATGCCATGACCACCTCCGCGACCCGCACCACCTCCAGAACCGCCACCTCCATGAAGATATTTCTTTAAATTCTCACCTGCACCCTGCAGTTGAAAATCAGCGTTGCCTCCTCCAGAACACGTATTTGATGTCGTAAAATCGCATGAAGCTGCACTCACACCGACAGCTTGATGTCCAGACGTAGACTGCTGCTGTTGCTGCTGCGATGCTGCCTGATCCGAAGAGGAGAAAAAGCGTTTGATATCCCCCAACTTGGAAGCCCAGCCAGACAAACCTCCAGTCGTGGCACGACCTGTAGAAGGAGCGGGAGGAGCAAGTTTAGTTTTAAATTCAACATTTTGGGTCGTAGCTCCTTGAGGGGCTCCTTGTAGCTTGCTAGAAGCAGTTGCAGTAGAGCAGGCCGGCTCTTTCATAAAATCGTCCACATTTTTCTTCAAGTTCTTCTCTTCTCCAGTTTGGGCCAATTTGCTTCTCTCCATAAAGTCCATTTTTTTGCGTATTTCTTCTAATGAGCCAGCCTGACTGCAACTAGAGGAAACTGAATTACGGGACTCGGCTGTGGATGAGAGGACAACATTGGGAATAGGAAGATTCTCCTTGTTTGATGCACTAATCCTACTTCTTTCCCCTGCAACTACAGCAGACGAGTGAGAACTTACACCAGCCCCTCCTCGCAGACCTCCGCTAGAGGTACTAGCATGTTGTCCTGTAGTGGAGCTTGCCGAAGAACTCGTAGCGGTACCTGATGCGCCATGCTCTCCTCCCGCAACATTCTTGAAAGCTCCGGACTTGCTCCCTCCTGAGGAGCCTCGCTTCGACTGTTGTTCTGAGGGTGGCGGAACTAAAATCTCGAAAGGCAGAATGAGCATGTCCGCAATGAACTTGCTCGCTTCCTGGTGTGGCAAGCAGAGATACTCCTGTGGAATGTCTAAGGAAAGCTGCATGGTCTCGCGTGTGAAAGTGTAGTCTTCCTCCAAGATGCGGATCAAGTCGAGCGAAACGCGGTCTGCGGTGGACAGTCGTTCTGGCCTTGTCACCAGAACGCTGTAGTAAAGGCGATGCTGCTCTCTCTCGGGTGTTGCACTCACGTAGTAGGTGGACGACCACGAGGATGAAGAAGAGGAAACTGATGTACTAGCGCTGCTACTAGTACTGCTGATGTTCTGCCCTCCTTTCTTGTTCTGATCGTTTTCCTGTAACTGTATTTCCTTCTTTTCTTAAAGCTCAGCATTCAAGGGTCATCATGACTCTGAACGGAAGGGACCCCCTTCAAAGCTCTCCCCTTTCCCTTCGTTTTCCCCTGTTCTCTCAAGGGGTCGCCTCTTCGATCTCAGTGACCAAGCAACCCCAATGACCATTGAAAGTTGAGCCTTAATTTTCTGCGTAGAATTTTAGCAAGTTGCTGATCGGTTCTTCAGGTGTGATCACCGTTCCCGTGCCAAACAGCTCCAACTGCAAGTAGTCCAAGGCGTAGTATCTCATAGCCTTCTTGTACACCGTCCGCCACAAGGCTGTGGGCTTTTCCGCAACTACAAGAGAATAGTTCATATTGCGCCAGGGGAAGAGTCGCAACACGACAAGATCCTGGGAAGAGGAGGAGGAAGAGGCATAATTGTTGATAGAAGATATGGAGCTAGCAGCTGGAGGCGCTGGTGCACCACCAGACGCTCTGAGCAGATGGGTATAGTTTTTCGTCTGTGCAGTGGCGGCTGTGAGTGGACGCGGAACACTATGAAGATGTGCTGGACGAAGGGCTAATGCCGCGCTCCTCTCCGGAGGTACAGAAGTGAATTTCAACCCAGCAATATCATGATTAGGAGGTTGTTGAGGCTCTCCAGCTGACCCGTTCGTAAGTGCGAGCTGTTGTCCTTGGGTCCTATTTCCAGCTGGGCCGGATCCATTGCCTAATGCAAGGACGCTAGGCTGTTGGAAGGCGCTAGTAGGACGAAGTTCTTCATTGTCATTGCTCGACGGATCCACGTTGAACATCACATTGTCACCGCCTACTCGTGAACCTGTGTATCCTGCCCTGACCGAGTAGTACCTCGATCGAGAGCATACGTTTTCCACAGACGTGGTCGTGGTTGTACCACCTAGCTGCACTTCTTCTACTTCACCTCTACTAGCCAATAAGTGTTCTGTTGCTGACGAGACACGTACCGGAAGATTCTTGTTCTGTTGAAGCGCAACAAGTTGATGTTCTTGGGGCTGGTGACTATTACTTGCCCTCAAATTGTTGATGTCGTTGTTGTTCATCCTATTGAGAATCAAACTAGTCGTATTGTTCGCGTTGTTCCTTGATGTTCCTCCATATTGGTGATGATAGTCACCCCCTTGAGATCCTCCACCTCCAAAAAATACTCCAGGAGTTGTTGTATTATATTTGTTGGTCGGACAATAGTTTCCATTCAAATTGTCTGGGAACGTGGTTGAAGATGAGGACATGTTCATGTTGTTCCTGGTGTGTGTTCCTTGATGACTTAGAGGTAGGGTCTTGGTGCTCGTGGACCCCGCTTTTTCTGCCTTTCTCCCTTAGGAAAGGCATAAAAAGCGGGAACAAAAGCACATTTACCCTACCCTTAAATGACCTTGACCATGCTGATTAGCAGTCTCCGCACTACCAACCGACGTGAGCGGAGGCAAACCGCGCAGTTCGACCAGGTCCGCAAGATGGTTGCCGACGGGTCTAGAGTTGTTTGAGAACATGATTGTTGGCGACTGAATGATGCTATTAGCAACATGTTCTTGATGTTGACTGCCAGCAACTTGAGACGACGCAGTACGCATTAACCTCGACGAGGACGAACAAGGTTGTAGTTGTTGACCTATTGTTCCTGAGGAAGAGGCGTGCTGTGAGGTTGTAGTACCTGTTGCACCACGGCTCGAATTATTGTTGCTCCCTTGTTGGTTACCACCCTGTCCACCACCACGCAAGATATGAAGCAAAGCGGCTGTGGTCGTTGAATCTTCTGAGATTATCTTTCTGCCGCTTTTTAGGTACTGCAAAGCACGACTATTAAGCAGTAGTTTTCGCTGCCTGCGACTGACCATCTTCGCAGTCGTGGTTGAAGAAGAATTTTGTAGTTGACCTGCTGGAACTTGATGTTGATGCTGCTCAGCACTTGATGTTCCTAGGTGGATTTGTAATTGCTGATTGTTCATGTTCATCAACTGTTCTGCTCGACCTCGAACTGTTGAAGGTACAACTATGTTGTTGACCGTAGAAGTTGTCGCGCTCGCGGCTCGTGTTTTCCATCCATTTGAGTAGAACCGGTGGTCTGACAGCCTGATGTCCAGAGGGAATCTAGTGTGGGGAAAGATTTCCCTCACCTTGCGACAGAGGACGCTAGACCGGTACAGGTACTCGAATCGCGTCAGACAGCCTTCAATATACTCCATCACATCTGAGAGGATGCTGCTGTAAACGCGCTCCACCATGTTGGGCATGCCGAACAAGGCTTCTGCGTTGGACAAAGCTCGCAATTCAATAGCACTACCACACCCACCAACTTTGGAAAAGACGCAAGTATAAGCTTCCACCACTTGCGTGATCAGCTTATAGACCTGAACCACAGAGTGAAAGGTGTGGCCGGACTTCGTATTTGAACTGGATGATGAGTTTCCCCCTCCGTTCTTGGAAGGTGGCAGTTTTGAGGCTGAAGTGAGGTTGTTCTGTAGTTGCTGTTGATGTGCTGCTGCTGCTGCACTAGGCCTAGGGGAACAGCTTGCCAAATTATTGTTGTAGTTCATGAAAAACGTATTTGTAGAGCTAGGTTCTTGAGCGCCTCCTCCGTTAGAAGCTCCGAAGGCGCCAACTGCTGACGTCGGCGCTCCAGTAAAATCTCCTCGAACTACACCTGCTGCAGTTGTGCTGTGGCCACTACTTGAAGGACCCATCAAACCGCCTCCGGAGGCTGATGATCCACCACTGCCTCCAGACGTTGCGGCCGCTCCTGCCAACACCTGCTCCAACCTTTTTTTGAATGCGTCGCCGATGGTGAGAACGATCTTACGGATCCGTCCGCGAATAAACGCGTATTGGTAGAGGCAATGCGATTGCTTTTCCAGCGTTGCTAACATGTAGATCAAGTTGCATTTTTTCAGTACGTAAAGTTCATCCTCGATGTCGCGAATGCGCTCAACTAAATCCCTCTGGAAACCGATCTGGTCTCTTTGCGCTTGATCGCTGCTGGTTCTAAGTAAAAGTTGGTGCTGGTGCTGGTGGTCTTGATGCTCTGGAGAAATTGATGGGTAATGGTCTGCACGAAAACCAGGTCCGCGATGCGAGGTCGTCGCACCTGCGGCATCATGGTCTGCACGAAAACCAGGTCCGCGATGCGAGGTCGTCGCACCTGCGGCCGCACCACTTGTCTCCTGCTGGTTCAACATACTCGTGCACCGCACAGCTCTGGATGAAGACCATGACTTGCCTCTTCTCCCTTGATCATCATGGTCGTCTTCATCAAGCTCCGCTTCTCGAGTTTGACGTCCTCCAACATGCCTTGTTCCTTCTCGATGATTACCTTCTCCTGCGTCATCAACTACAGCATCGTCTCCCTCTCTTGGGCTAGGGATTTCACTGCAGTCTTCCGCAGGTCGTAGAAGCACAGCAGGGGTCTTTCCACCCTCAGGGGACGCGGCTTCTTCATCGTCGTAAACACTACCATGCGCTACGGGAGTGTGATCGGCATCGACTTCGACGTTGCGTGGACTTCTCCAATCTTCTTGTTCTTGACGAAGACGATCGTCTTGTTCTTGATGTTCTTGTGGAAGATGTTGATGTTTTTCATTCTGTTGTAACCGAACGGCAGCTGTATGATGTTCTTGAAGTTCATCAGACGAACTATGTCTCTCTTGAAGATGATGTTCTTTCGTAGTCGCAGACAGCACTTCCGAAATCGAGGTGGTATTCGTTGTCGTATGGGTCTTTTTCTTCACTCCTCTGCCCATGATGATATGGTTGTTGATCGCAGCTGACGAGGTTGCGAACACCTTGTTGTTGCTGTTATGTGCTCTTTTGGAACCACTCTGATGTTGTTGAAGACCTTGATTGTTATTTGACGTGGTGCTGGAGGGATCATTTGGAATGATATTTCCAGGCGTTGAATTGTTCTTGAAAATATTCATATTGCAGCTGTTATTGTGCTTACTACTATACGGCACTGCACCTGCGATTCCACCACCTGCTCCATTAATATTAGCTCCACCGAGCAGTGTCGATCCACCAGCACCTCCTCCAGTAGTCGCGGCACGATTCAACATTGTCGTTGTCCCTACTGTCTCAGGCAGCAACTGCGTCTTCTTTAGGATTTCCTGTAAGAGGAAATCGGGATCTGGATGTAGGAGAATCAAATCCCAGTTGAGACCATTCGTATTGCAACGCTCGCAGTGACTGTAGAACAGCTTTTCCATAGCAGTCATGGACTGGATCGATAGTGCGGAACACGGATTCCAAAAGACACGTTTTAGCCATCTTTGGAGTTTCACCACACGCCGCTTCAGGTAATTCGTACCAGGAGTACTAGAGCAGTTGTAGTTGTAGTAGAGAAGGCGACCTTTGTCGGTGAGTTTTTTCTTAGCAAAAGTGGCTTTCTTCACTACAGGACTGTTTACTCCTTGTTGATGCAAACCGCCTTCGCTTGGCACGCCAGATGTGGATGAACCTTCGATTGCAGGGCAAGCAGTTGTTGGTGTAGCCGAGGATTCCTGTTCGGGACGAACTAGTACATGATCACCTTCATGTCCACCGACACCGACTTTGTTGTCGCTACTAGCCCTCTGAGGACGAAGATGATCAACATCCTGACACTGAACTAAAGCCAAGTCCTCCAAATGATCGCCTTGTACGAGATGATCGGAGGCTGCTGCTCGTGAGGGCGGACTAGCCACGGCGACCATAGAAGCAGCAGACGACATCGCGTCATGACTGTAGCAAGACGAGGAGGACCCTCGTAGTCTGTTGCTATTTAGCACCAGGGAGGAAGAATTTGGTGTCGTGTGGTGGTCTAGGTTGTGTTCCTTTTGCTGAATCCTATGAGACGTAGAATGTGTTCTTGTTGCCATGCCCATCCTCACCACTGAACCTCCTGATGTACTGTGATCTACCAGCAACTGCGGAGGTGTGCATCCATCTTGGTAGATCTGCACAGTAATTTGTCCTTGCCAGGCTGCGGCGGCTTCTAGGTGGGAAGCCTGCAATTCCTGTCGCAGCTGCATGTCGGCGAGGGATTAGAATGGGTCGTCCATGATCTAGTAAAAGACGAGAAGCAACGCAAGTCTTCTTGAAAAATCGTAAAAATCTCAATTGTACTATACGTAACTACAACAATCATTGCATTATTGCAAGAGCAGGACAATTTACGAAAATGATCACTCGTACATGGAGAAGACCTATTTGTTACTATAGATGATGCCAGTCATAATTATACAGCCACAGGCTGTAGCTATCCAGTGAATTCAAGAGCAGGAGCGCGTATTTCTCCACCAGAGACAAGGCTTCACTCGGCGTAGCGTCAAAAACAGGGAAAGAGTGTGGCCGAAACCGTTGCGTTGAGTCCTCAAGGACAACCCGCAGAGACTTGATTTTGCTAGGAATTACTGGCTGTTGGTCGTGTCGTACTAGTTCTAGTTCTTCCAGTTGTCGACGTTGTCGTGGTTGGTGTTGCTGGAGTTGGTGGTGGTTCACTCGTCGCAGGTTTTGAGGACTAGTAGTACTCGCGCTTTCATGTTGATGTTGTAAGTCGTGTACGTTAGCGGAATCATTGGCGCTTCTTGGGCTTGGTGCTCGCTGATTGAGAAAAACCAGATCATCATGCATATTCTCATTGTTATACAAGTCTAGCCTTGTTGTTGGAGTTCTTCCTGATTGGTTAGGGTCTTCAACCTCAACGTAATGACCGGCACTTCTGGGTGTGCCTTCAGCAGGGTTACCGGACCGCATGTTGGGTCCTTGAAAATCATCCTCGTCAACCATCGAAGAGAGCAAGGTGCGGTCGTGATCAAATACAGCACCCGCGACAGCCACCTCTTCTCTTCTCTCGAAGTGATAATTATGATCATCCTGCTCTACTACCACGCCGTCTACTTCCATTCGTCCTTCTATCATGTGATCAACAGCATCTTCTTTACCAACAAGGCCTTCCTGAACATCATCGTCCTGCTGCACAATGTTTCCCAGCACACTAGGGAACAAAGCATGATGCGTCTTCTTCGTTCCACCACGGTTACGAGGGGAGCAGAGGTCAGCAAGGTCCCAGGCGGTGGTAGCAGCAGCCGTAGTATTCGTCCGACGAGAGGACGAGAGGGTAGTTGGACCCGACAAAGACATCTTTTGGTTATTTTTCCATTCACTTTTCACTTGCACAACAAGGAGGATCGAAAGCGACACTTACTTCCACTTCTACTATATGTTGATCTATGGTTTAGAAGTATTTTAGATCATACTAGTTAGTATCGACAACTACATCTTCTTGTTCTATCTTCTACAAATAAAATCAAGAAAACCAAAATCTATCATAACTACATTCTTGCAAGATGTACTTCAAAAAAAAAAGATCTAGTCCAGATCTAGTGCAGAGTCCAGGGTGTGGAAAGGATTATACTAGATCTGGGCATGTAAAAATCATTCACGTGGGTGCGCGTCTATAGAGCCGCAGCGGTAGGTCGTGTCCTGCTTGTCCTTGTCATATTCAGCACAAATTTTCATCGAGTATCATCAAGAATATCCTCGCTTCACGTTTTTCAGTTAGGTCGTCGGACGGGCAAATATTCACAACCATAATCTTCATGTACAGCACATCAAACTTTCAAATTTATACATAGAATCAACTTGAACTATACCTACCTAAAGCAAATTCGCGGTTACACCAAAAAAAACTGGCTCTACAAACTTCTCTCCAGCTTCATTTATGACACATCAAGATCGATTATCATAAATGAACCGTGGACAGATTATTCAATAAGGGGAAAAAAAGGGGGGAGGAGCCACAATGTGACATGAATAATCATGGGTTTCTCAGAAACTTAGACTTTTGTTTGCTTGTTGGCCTAAATAATCTGAAAAATTTTTCACAATTCACTGATGACACTCTGTCGTTCTCGTTGCCATCATCATATTCATCCCCAGTTGAATCAAAGTCATCAGTCATGATACCATAATTTTTGGGCGATCATGATCAAGAAAGTAGAAGAGTAGATAGTACTAACTTCTTCATTTTCTAGTCTTCAGCTTTTAAAAATCTACCTCATACAAGGTTGAATAATCTACCTCATCCGAGCTTCCCAAGCTGCGTCAAAGAAAGAAGAGTAGCTACTAGTACTAACTTCTTCAGTTGTATCATATTCTAGTAGTGGACTCCGATAGTCAACAACAAGAGCACTTCTCAAGCAGCTCTGAATTGTCCTTTGCGAATGCCATTTTGCCTTTTCATTTGATGACACCATCGAAGGAGGTTCTACAGCAGTGTGACACGAAGAAAGAAGCTGTCGATGAAGAACTTGACGAGGGATCGTTCGACTGACGTTGTTTTTTTTTTGAATTTCCAATCTGATACGATGTGGATCAGTGTCGCAGCAACGATGAGAGCAGAAAGAGAAACATTGTGCATCGGCACAGTCTGAAAGGTTTTGATTTTTCGTTTCTTGATTCAGTCTGAAAGAAAGATCAGGATGTTCTTGCATGATAATGAAACATCAGGCTGAGTCGCTTGTGCACATATGTAGTCTGTAGAACTAAAAGTAGACTGACACAATTCTGGAGAACCCGAGAGCCCGATGTGCTAAAAACTTTGAATTAGCAGGGTGAGGGTTTGAAAATTGGGATTCGAGGGAGAGGAAAGAAAAAGACTCTGCTCGGAGGAAAGCAGAAGAGACTCGGGAAAAAGGGAAAATTTGAATTTATGATGATTACTGGGGAAGTATGTTGCATGACCTTCAGATTGTATCAAAAAGAATCTGACACGCAAAGACGAGAAACGGAAAAGGACAGCCTTTAACATCTTCTAGAAGTAGTAGTAAGACCTCCACCAAAACAAGGACAACCAGTCCCACTCCCAGTATAAATCTACAAGATGGTACTAGTATGTCTTTCACAACTATTCCCAACTCTAAAAAAATCTACTTAAACTCATCATCTCCGTCCTCCGGATGAAGAAAACGATCAAGTAGAGCCTCGATCTCATGTCGTTGGTGTCTTCATTTCGTTGGCGTTTGCCACTGTGCGGCACAAGTTTTCACGTTCGCGTAGTACCATTTCCCGCTGGACTTGGAAAACATCTTTTGCCAATTCGGTGGCAAAGGCTTTCCACTACGTGATAAAAATTTGCTACTCGACGTCTTAGAAGTTGATGTTCAGACAACATCTATTTTGCATTCTCCACAACATGAGACGCAAAATAAATGTGGCACCAAGGACTCTTAACATTCTCATTGTTTGAAGAAGGAGGAATCGTTGAAGAAGTCGTCAGATTTGTCTTTGTCGTTGTTGATCCAAGCAAATCAGGAGCACCAGGTAGTACGCCACCGAGCATAGTCTTTGAAGCAGAACCCAAAGCGCCAAGTTTGGAGCTACTGCCTATTCCTGCGGACTTCATAGGACTGGTACTGCGCATCATTTTCGAGGTTGCGTCCTGCTGTTGGGGAGGACCGCCAGAGCCTCCATCTTGAAGCTGTTTCAGCAGCAGTTCTCTCTTCTTTTCGGATGGCTTAGAGGAGGGGGAGGCAGGTGGAGAGCGAGAGGTCAACATCTTGTAACTTTTTAATGGGGCCTCATTGCGTTCTGTGGTGACCGGTTGTAAACATAAGCGCGTCATTTGCTTCGCTTCAACGACTCGTGGCTCGGCTAGTGCGGTGACTAGCACACAACAGGTTGTTGTAGTTCCTGCTTGAGTCAGATACACGACGCCTTCTATGGGCTTGCTAACAGTACTTGTATGGGTGGAATGATAGATAGATCTGAGTAATTACAAAAAATCTTCTACAGGATGAGTAAAAGCAGCTTCCAATTGTTCCATGCGGGGCGATATGAATCTTCTTCTACTTCTAGTACAAGAAAAATTCTCCTGATTAAGATTAAGGTCATTCTCATTAGTAATGGATCATGATTATGTATAATGTAAGTAGAGAACAATGAGTCATTACTACAGCACTAGTACATCAACATAACTTCTCTTGTCGCTTTAGCGCCATCATCTACGTCGACTTTGTTTGCGAAGCGGTCCTTCTCCCATGCTGGTTCGGGCTTCTCCGTAAACCAAGGATGCTCCATCAAAGCTTCTGCGGACCATCTTCTATCGGGATTTAAGGCTAGCATGTGCCCAAGAAGGGAAAACAGTGAGTCTTTAACGGCCAGTTGGAACAGCACTTGTTTGTAGGTTCCGACAGTGAAAAGTTCCTTCATATGCACAGCTTCGTTGTTGAGGAAGAAAGTGGTGTTTGAACTCTGAGAGTTGTCTTTTGAAGATGGTTTGCTACCTTGTAGTTTTCCCGTGCCTTTGGAGGAGGTACTACTGTTTGATGGTGCTGCTGGTTTCTTATCAGTAGAAGTCCTCCCTACTTCATCAACCAGTTGATCCCGGTGCATGCGTACACCCTTGATCATCGAATCGAAGTTCTCGAAGCCAGAGTAGTTCCGCAGCAAGTGCTCATAGCGAGGCCAGCTTTTTGCCGTTGGCCTTCCTAAGCGCTGGAAAATGAACGAGGCAAACGACTGCTCGTTTACTTTTACACGCCCTTTCTCCCACTTCTCGGTGTCATAGAAAAACGGCCTGCGCGCTGAATGCGTCGCTGAGGATACACCTTTCGCAACCAAAATTTCACCGAGGATGCCTGGAGAGGGAGAGTTTTCGTTTTGGGATTGATTATCCCCATGATGGGTGGTACAACTAGGCCAGGAGTGTTAGGTTTAAATAAACCTACAACACAAAGAACTGAAGCTGACTGTATTCTAAGTACTTATCATGATGTTGTGTTGTTGTAGGTTTCCACTATGTACTTAATATCGTTGTAGTTGTTATGTAGGAAGCACATCATTAACGAGTGAACTCTTCATAAGTCTTTTCCTCTTCGATCGGTCGGAAAAAAAGAGGTGTTGGGATTCCACATCCATAAGGTAGTCTTTTACTTTGAAAGATAACGTTCATGATCGCGTTCTTCATCTGGTTCTTCTTCTAGTAGAATCTACTTGTTTTGTTATTCACGTCACCAGCTGCACTCAAAAAATAACTCCTCGAGGAACTAGGAGGTTTCAGAAAACGTGACGAATTATCAACAGCACTAAGAAGTTCTAGGTCATAGAAGTTTCGTACATCCAGCGCCCCAGATATCGAGTGCAGGGCCATAGTTGCGCTCGCCCAGCAGAAGCTCGATGCTTCGATAAGAAGGTGTCACTATCACTTGTGGGGGTTCAAGGTCTCTTGCTTTCACTAATTGCAGAGATGTTGTAGGTGGAGAGGTTGAGTTCTTGTGGTGGTTGCTTCTGACCTGCGCATTCGTTATTGTCTTGTTGTCCGAAGGCCATTCTGCGTATGCTACGCGACTTAAACCGAAATCACACACCTGGCGAAAAAAAGGAGACCAATAAGCGCAGAGCGAGAAAGAACCAAAACAAGAAGTAGAGCGAGAAAGACCAGGAAAAGCGCAAGTAGTATGTTGGTCTCCTTTTTTTCGAATACCAACAGAGAAGGGCGCGCGCGAAGGGGATAAACTGTAAATCTGTGGTCGGCAAAAGCAAAACGGAGAAAACTGAACTGCGATCCGGGATTTTTGGTGCACGAAAATGCACACGACGGGTACATAGTTTAGAAGGCAGCTGCAGCTTTGAGAGAACAAAGAATGACAAAGACCGGTGTTGAGAAAACAAGTACAGGAGAAAGTCAGTAGAAAAATACGCGACGAGAAGTAGGACGACTACCACGACGATTACAGTACCTTCGGCAGCCCACCTCTTCGGCAATCGAAAAAAAGGTCGCCTTTTCCTGACTTTTGCTTTTATTTAAAATTTAGGATATTTTCCAAACTAGAAGAAGTAGGGTTGTAGTTGTATACATCATAGATAGGTATACCTTGATTTCTCCCGATATGTTGAACAGGATGTTCTTCGTCGCCAAATCTCGGTGTAATATCCCTAGAGAGTGCATGTAACCAACTCCCTCTAGGATCTGCTTGACCAGAAATTTGATATTGGCCATGCTCAGGTAGTGTTGCTCACTCTGTAACAGCTGGTTCAATGCTGCGTGGCAGTACTCCATCACAATGACGGGCTCTCCCTGTGGGGAGCAACACGTTTCGACCATCTGCACACAACTCTTAGTGGCCGCCTTTCTTCTACTTGTAAATGAAGCTGAGGAGGAAGAAGAAGGGGTGGGTCCTCCTGAAGATGTTGAAGCAGCTGTAGAGGCTGTAGTAGTACTTGTAGTTGTACTGGTTCCAGCAGCAGGAGCAGACTTATTCTGTCCAGCACCACCTGAGGTGGAAGTTCTTTTCGAATTTGTCCCACCCTCCTTACTGTTGTCAGCAGCATCTTTACTTTGCTCCTGCACAGCATCTTCCACATCACAAGCCAGTCTCCTCATAGTCTGCAGCTCACGCATGAAAGCAATCGTCACGCCGTCGTGCTCGTCGTGTATCCGATTCGTTACTTTTGCTGCGACAATCTGCCCTGTCAGTCTGTTCCGTGCTTTATAGACTTTGCCATAAGCACCTTCTCCCACAGGCTCTATGGTCTTGTCCCCAGGTTTCTGTGGCAGTTTTTCATACAGAGTTTCCCACAAAGGACAACGGCGAGCTAGCATAGGAGTTGTACTAGAACTACTTGTACTTGTTGTACTACTTGGTGTGCAGCTAGAAGTTGTGTTTGTACTACTATTTTTAGTAGTGCTTGAAGATGTAGCTAGTAATGCTGAGGGAAGAAAAGCCTTACTTCTAGTATTCTTCAAAAATCCTCCTTCAATCGGACCGTGGTATTGCAAGACGAGAGGCCGGACAGTTCTATAACTGTACAACCGCTGCTTCTGGTACCATCCCTCCAATGCTATAGGGTCTTTGCGCAAGCTAGAGGGAGGCCTTATTAACTTGTTGTGGCCTGCTGATGTGGAGGACGAGGAAGAATGATGATGGAGGTGGTCTTTGCAGCTAGTTGTACCATTATTGGAGCCATTTGCGTTTGCTACAGCACCATTTGATGCAGAAGGCTTGTCATCGCGTCTCCGTCTCCTACTACGATCCCGCGATCGTGACCTCCCTTTCCTACCACGGTCGCGAGACCTACTCCGTCGTCTTGTTCTACTCCGCCTGCGTCTGCGGTGGAAGTTAGAACAACTGAAAAGAAAAGTTTCAGAAACTTCTATCTACTTGAGAGCAACATGAGTGGGCCACTCCTGTAGAGCAGTCTAGTATGACAGACACGTAGACAATCTTAGCAAAATCAGCATTGATTCACGATAGGGTCTGACAATGGCGAGCGATGGCTGACAATGGATCATAAGGTTACTCTGAAAAATAAAGTTTTTAGAGACCCCCAAGTTAGTCTTTTCAACTGTATAGTTCTAGGATTGAGAGCAACATGAGTGGCCCACTCCAACTACAAGTGAGAGTGACGATGTAGAGCAGTGGTCTAGTACGATAGTAGATAGTCTAATATTTTTATAGATACGTAGAGAATCATTCATTTTGTCCTGCATAACATGACTCCCACCCCTCGTTCGTGTCCGATCTCTCCTTCTATCACCACCGGAAGCACGCTCCCTTTCCCTGTCTCTTTCTCGATGTCTAGCCCTACTACTTGTTCCTGTGCCACTAACATCTTCTAATTCCTGTGAACTTTCGTCGTCATCCTCATGAGCACCAGCTTGAATCTTGGATGCAGAAGCATTCTTGTTCTTCTTGAGGTCTTCATCGGGCGTAAGCATGAAACCCTCAGAGTCACTGTCCTCGAAACTGTCCATCTTGTTGGGTACTAATTTTCAAATACGTGTAATACTAATACTACGTCGTGTAGATAGGCCGCGGCGGGTTGAAACTACAAGCAAAAATAAATTAGGGCTACACTGAGACTGACACGAAGATGCCATATACTGATTCACCCATTCATTCGAACAACCACGTAGCAACTCAGAGCTGCCTGGTTCTATTGCAAATTGCAAAGACACAACTTCTACATGAGATAACAACCTAATTGATTCATCGCTATTTCACCTCCAGTCTATTCCGCCACGACAACCTGTATTAAGATCATGTTCTTTGTGGGCCATGAATTTGAAAAGTGAAGTTGCAGCAGCCAGTTGTAGGCACTAGCTGTAGTTGTTGTTGTAAGCAGTAAGTAGATTCGTTATCAGAGGAAACTCAATGCTTCCATCTCCTACCACATCAGAGAGCTGGATCACATAACCGATCATGAAATTGAAAGGACGAGGAAATCGGATTCATCGCAGATAAGCATAACTTTCATCATGTTGTCTGATACGGATTTTTCATGTTTCATGGCCAAGTACCATTCGATGGAATTCTGGTTCCACATCCGCACGACCAGAACACGAATCTTTCACTACAAGCGGTGCATGAAATTTCATTTGCACGACCCTTTAGCTTTAATAGTACAACAAGGGCGCGGGGAAAAAATATTGCACACATCGAGTACCCTTGTTCAACGTTCCTCAAAAAGGAGGTTCATCAACCTTGTTCATCTTCAGAGTGATTGAATTTTGTTGATCACTCAACGACGCCATCTGCGCAGAGAGAAAGGAATGAATGTCTGATGTTGCATGTCGAATCTTGCTTACCACAGACGAGGCTGCTCCGGAACTTTGTCCTGAAGGACCGCCAGCAAGGAGTGCGCCAGTACTTTTCATATCGTTTTCTGGATCTGGCTGTAAGAATTAGAAAGATTTTTCTGAGACTGAGAGGAGGCGGGATACGATTATGAAATCCATCTTCTGAATGATGCCGGTTTATGCTAGATGGAAAGCGATGAAAGGTAAGATGAAAGAGTATGCAAGAGACTTTAGCAGCTAGCAGATCATGGACGATTTTGATGTACCGCAATCTGCATAGAAAAAGCAAAGAACTGAGTAGTTCGTAAAGTCCCCCAGTCTTCCCACCGCGATGCAATCTTGGCGCTACTAGGTTCAAATTTCTCGATGGGTCGTATCCCGTGCCACTCAATGCAGTATTAAACGATTTTTTGCCTGTTGCGTTCTTTCCTAATATGCTAGAGCTTGCCAGTATACTGGCAGAACTCAGGTTCATCGAATTCTTGCTAGAAGTAGTTGTTGTCCCAGCCCCTCCACCTCCAACTGTAGTTATGTTTCTACCTCCAACTGCTGATGTATTGGTAGTGCGAGTGGACCATGATGCTGTAGCTGAAGATGCTGAAGAACCAGCATAGTTGGTGTTGCTATTTCTAGCAGCTGTGGTAGTACCGTAGGAAGATGAGGATGTCGAAGTTCCTATACCTGTACCTCCCGCAGCAGCAGCAGTTTGCACAAGGGGTTTCACAACAGGCTGAGCTCTACCATTAGAGGCGTTTCTTGTTCTGCCAGTAGTACTTGTCGCACTAGCTATTATAGCCGGCAATGAGTTCCCAGGCGCTCCCGTCAAAATATTGTCTGGTCCACCATCTTCGAGGCGGTTCGCGTCATCTTGACCCATGCCGTTATACCTCCATTGCTGACTTTTCAAGATGATGTCCCACATCCTGTCACATTCTGACTCGGCTTCTTGGACTCCACTATGCTCACGCTCCACGACGGAGATCGCGTTGCTGGTCAAGAGTCTTTCGTATAGCAAGGCTTTGACGCGAAGCTCCTCTTGGACGCGTCGCAGAATTAGAGGACGACAACTTTTTTTTCGCTCATGATAGTTCGAAAGCCCTTTATTTTTTAAAAACGAGAACTTCTGAATCTTAAAGATGACGAATAGGAGGACGACTAAAACTAAATGAAGTAGTAGGACATTGGACAACTACCTCCTCCCTCATTATCATCTATTCAAGCCATAACCACATCCTTTGATTCGCTTCGATTTTCCTCTCAGTTTTCCTCTGAAAAGTAGGACTAGCTCCGATTTTGCACCCGTCAGCTCCGGTTTCTTCCTGCGTTGTAGACACAATCTGATCCCGCAGATCGGTCTCAAAAGCAAACAGAAACGAAGACGAGCAGGAGGACATGGTGCTGTCCATAAAAATTTAGCTGTCCATAATATATTTCACTCTCACTCCTTGTCCTTTATCAATATCACCATAATATATTTCACTCTCACTCATTTATCAAGAATATCATGAAGAATTATAGGTTGTAGTTCAAAAGAACCAAGGTAGCAGGAACTGTCGTTTTACACTCATTCAACTTCTACCTCGGGATCATACTCACGATACACTCTATCTTGTTGCTGTTACCTCGTGCGCCCTCGGCTGCTGCTCGTCTCGCAACTGAAACGACCGATGTAGTGTTCTGTTCTCAGAACTAGTAAAACAGAACTTCTCGTCTACCAGGCTGCGGCTCGAGCTCAGATTCCCTTCCCCGACAAGACTTCTTGCAGCGTAAAGATAACATAAATGTAAAAAAACATCAACAACTACATGCTGAAAATGCGGGTATAAAAAACATTTTCTGTACACAGACGCAACAGTCTCTTCAACATCAAGCCCCCAGCAACAGCATGGCAACTTGGTCCTTCGTGTGCGTCGTCACCTGTAGAGCCTGCAGTCCGTCATGAAGGAAGATATACGCTTCCAAAATTTTCCTTCCGACCGCCTTTCGGGTTTCTTCACGTAGTTCCCTAGCCGAGATTTTCTCTACATGCGGAACTGACAAGGCTTTCAACGTGAAAAGGCTGGTGTAGAATGAGCGCAGCACCGAAGATAACGAGACAGCGTGTAGTTCCGGCACTTGCTGCAGCTGCGCTGCGGTAGGGAAGCCGCCATCTGGGAATTTTTCAGGATACCCGACAACATCACGCAACGCCGTCACCTTCTCCAAGAGACCCAGCTTTTGGAGTGTCTCCTGTCCTTGATGTTCGATCAAGTACATCTGCTGCTCTTGGATCAGCTGCGAGTACAACACTGCGCGGTCTTGAGCTAATGGCAATGTCTTCAGCGGTTCCAGCATCAAGGATATGCAGTTGATCAGGAACACTGCTCGATCCTCAGGATTCGACGAGAACATTTGTCGGCAATGGTTTAACAGAGGATCGTAAGCTGCGCAAAGAATAGGTTGAAACTCCTCCAGACTGTCCACGTCCTGCACGATTTCGTGCATCATCTTCACCGCTTCCCGGACGAAAAGAGGACATGAGAGGTCATCCATGATGGCGAACCGTGAACCATGTGCTGCAGAGCCTTGTCCTGTGGGGTCATCTTGCCCTCCACCGCTGGAGGTGTTGGCGTCAGGATTAGATGACTCTTCTTGTCATGTGTATGTCCTAAATAGTATTTTGATGAGCGTTTCTTCTTACTTTTCTTGTAGTTCGGGTAATCGACGTAATGCAGAAGTACGTTCGACCACGATCATCGGATGTAGTACCAGTTGTACTAAAACTAATTAATACAACAGTAAAACCAACTACGTCCACGTCTAGGTCGTCTACGCGTTCGAGTTGTAGAAGCAACAACTACTCCAATAGACTACCATTACCAATGCTATTTTGTAACCAGTCTATAGACCACTGTGTATAACACTCCAACTATAAAAATTACGTCAAAAGAAGTGCCTCTTGTTCACTCAGTTCATAATGCTAGTCGTTCCTCTCATGGTCTGGCTGTTCGCGTCGCACACATCTAGGAACCTCTGCGCCATTTTCTGCTGATAAAGGTTGATCAGCTGCAATAAGCGGGCATCCTTGTTCAACAAGAACGTGAGCGCACGACTGAAGTATGCCAGCAACCGCGAAATCTTGTAACACCCCACCAGCGAATCCAAGTGCAAAAGACTGTCCATCCGTGATTTGAAGCTGTCGCAGACTCCCTCTAGGACGAAATCCAGCAAGGAGAAGAGATCTGCTAGCAGCCCATCGTCGTTGCTGACTGCATCTTCGTAGTTCACAATAGAAGAAAGCACTTCAGCGCGCGAAGCCACATCGAGGATCGTGGAGCCACCTTTCGTGCTGGCGACGAGCGACCCGACTTGTTGACGAAGGGCCTGTGTGCGTGTGGAAACGGAAAGGGGGACGATAAAGAAAGTGAGAGAGTTATGTCGTTGATGAGGTTTGATTAAATATTTCTTCGCTGCAGTCCAATATAATAGATACATTTGGTACGTCATAGGGTACGAGCACCAAAAACAACATCAAGAAGAACCAAGTAAAAAAATCTCTGCTGGTATTTCTATTTAGTCAACCGTAAAAAATGAGTTGTACCTTCTTCCTCTCTTTCCCTGCCGCACTTATACCCAAAAACGTCGTGAGTGCTTCCCGTTCCGTAGCAATGTTCTCATGGATCCACGCTAGGATATCGCCTACGTACCTAACCGGATCGTACTGCTTGCACATTTCTATGGCATGACTGTCCTCGCCTCCTCGTGATAATTAGAGGCAACGACAACCTCGCTTTTTTCAGAATGTCATTCTACTTCAGCCGATTTCCCGAGTAGAAATCGGCCAAAAGATGATGCCGTCGGCGACGGGTTCTTGCCGTTACCTCCCGTAAGATAGCGCTTCATGGAATCGCGTATTCAGCATCTGTTTCCGCATCTTGGCAATGTCGCGGAGACAATGGTTGAAATACACCGGACGCTCTTTCAGGTACAGGGTTAGAGGCTCAAGATTGGATTCTTAGAACTCTTCAGTCTAACTGTATGTATGTAAAGAGAGCTTCAACGCCACAACTAGAAACCCCTGATCTGATCACAGATGAATGAGAACCAGAAGGGGTGCTTGAGTCTAACTGAAAAGGAAATTCGTTTTGAAGTTGTTATTTGATGCTGAAGTTGAACTAGTAGTACAAACAATATAAAATAGGCCACTCGAGGAGAGTGTGGGGGTGGGCCTTTTCTTCATTCTACGTAACAATCAAAACTCTTGCAAGAATTGCATCTATTCGTGCCATATCTGCAACGACCTTTTCATCAAGTGTGCTCCTTGCGATCCACCAAAGTTGATTCCCGAAACTCCAGATGCAGTAGCAGCACTAAACCCTCTGCGGCAATGCTGCTGCACAGAGATAAAGAGGCGTTCGTAGGCAATGTCGAGGATGTCCGAAGTTTCCTGTAGCACGTCAAACGCCGAACTGGTGTTCAAAAGCAAAGCATGGCCACCCATGTGGTGGGTCTGCCCACCTGCAGACGAGATGGCGGAGGAAGCTCCTGCGTCGCGAGTAGAGGCTTGGGCGATTAGAAGAGGAATTTGGTTTTGCAGGCGCAGATTATAACTAAAAGATCATGGGAAAGAGTGAGAGCGACATCAAAGAAGCATAAATATCTGAAGGATGAAAAATTTTTGTGAGGAGAAATACATAGTACTTGATCAAGAGGTGAGTGAGTCTGAACGACTACCATTTAAAAGGAAAAAAGAGATCAATTTTTAGACGTCAAAATTTGCAGGAGCCAATGATAAATACGCCGTTATACTACTTACTCTTACAAGCGCACCATCCAGATCCATGTCCATCAAGCAAGTGGTGACATAATTGCATCATTTCTGCCTGCAGTTTCAAGGCGCTTGCCCCAGCTCCACTGACTCCTCCTGTGAAGTTATTGGTTCGGAGCTGACAGTTTCGTCTGATCTCCATGACTTTGTCCAGCACTTCGAAGAAGGCGTCGTTAATTGTGTTATCCCCATTTCTCACTCGATCCATCTCCTCTTCTGACATTAGAGGTAGGTTTTTGGTGCTTGCTTACTTTTTATGCCTTTCTCCCTTAGGAGAGGCATAAAAAGCGGTAAGAAAAGCACCTTTAACCTACCCTTAATGACAGTCGGAACTTGTTCAGAAAAGCCTCGCAAATCTTCTTTTTTTCAGCGCAGACATCACGCTTTTCTCGGAGGCAAAGTTAGACGCTTAGTGGTTCATAATTCTGGTGCCTTCATAGGGTTCGGGGTGAAGTTGTAGTAGATCGCAACATAATGACAGATGCGAGAGAGGACACAATAAGCGACGACTGAGCCTCAGATATTCAAAAAAATTTCACATGAGATGAAACAATGATCCGGAACATGAGAGGACAAAAAATGGATCCCGAACATGAGAGGACAAAAAATGGAGAGAATGGTGAGTACGTTGTAACTAGTACGGACTGCACCTGCACTTTCTCAACATCCTACTGTATGGCTCTGGTATTTGGTAACCTGAATTTGATCCTAAGGGTTGTCTTCTTGTTTTCCCTTATGATCAAATTCAGGTTACCAAATACCGGAACCATTCACCTCCTATTTTTCCAAAGGATAAGAAAACATCAACAGATGATACAAGAAACAACTATTGAACATAACTAGATGCTTCTTCGTTCAGGCGAAACAGATGATACATCAAACAACAATTCAACATAACTAGATGCTTCTTCGTTCAGGCGATAGGTCCTCTTTCTCGAATTCTGCAAGTCACTGTGAACCCTATCTGCCAAGTCACTCAAGGAGTCGATCTCACCTTCGAGTTCCTCTAGGAGAGACTCAATCTTTGTGCCGACCTCTTCGACAAAGGTTGAATGGACCTAGAAGAGGATAGGAAGGAAAAGGTAAAGGTAATAAATTTAAATGGGGACTCTTCATCTACGAAATTAGAATGGAGCTAGAGGATAGGAAGGAAAAGGCAAAGGTAACAAATGGGGACTCTTCTACCTGTAAGAAAAGGTAGAATGGACCTGTCGGAAAAGGAAAGTAAGTGGTTTGGATGTTTTTATGTCGAGGTGTGCGTTAATGGATGAGATGAATCTTCTTGTTCAAGGTCAAGAACATGTTGACAGTAATAGTTGTAGTTGTAGTATGATTTGTAGCTGTAGTTCTTGTAGTTGTAGTTCTTGTAGTTGTAGGACTCTCGATGTTTTTTCGACGTACTCTTTCTGTAGTTTCTTCTTCTACTTGTCAACAAGGACGATTGAAATCTTCTACAAATAAGTTGCTTACTTTCAAACTCTGCTGCTCAATCGTGGTTCGCAAGTTTCTCCGTGTGTGTGCCGTGTTTTGCGTAACAAAGCTCGACATTTTCTTCAGCTCCTCCCTGCATTGGTCAGGTCGCAACTGCAGAACTTTACGAACCTTTCGGGACAGTGTTGCAGTTGCATTGTCTCCGTTCGTTCCACTCGTACTGGTCACTCCTGCATGCGCCGCTGCTGGTGGAATATTGCCATTTATTGAAGATCCTGTTGACCCCACGGAAGACGTAGCAGGCAAAAGTGTCGATCCTCCTGGACCTGGAGCCCCCGATGATGTTAAGGATACACCAGATGTCGATGGAGGGGGAGCAACCATAGGAGCGGCACTCATGGTGTGTGATAGTTTCGATGCCTTGTAGAACTTCAATTGAGTAACAAGATGAACTAGTACAGTTGGTGTCTGTACTAGTTATGGAACAATGACGTTAATAACGACAGTCAGAACGTCGAAAGTCAAGAAAGTCTACAACTTATATTGGTAGCTATATAATCGCCAAATTTGCATCTCCTGGTCTTTTGTATCTATGTATAAAAGTCCGAAGATGATTGTCTGATCTTTCTACCGGAAAGTTGTATACGCATTCTTTATCATTATCTTTTGGCTTACGCTTAGAAGAAGATCCAAAAAAGCCGATGCCAGCAGTCTACCATATCATTGATTGTATCGTGTTGAAAACTACATGCTGCTGCTGCTGTCGCCGGGGTTATCGCTCTCTTCAAATAACAAGCTGTGCCTGCAGCAGGAAGAACATCCCTAGTTCTCATCACCAAGCAGACGACCGCTGTGAAGAGGGCTTTGGGCGGAACTTTTACGGAAAAAGGTCCAATCGTCCTGGTGTTTACTTCGTTGAGCTTCATCTACTCAACACACTGCCACGAGGACAAGAAGGAAATCATTTGAAGACGCTGGCTTCTCTGGTGATCAACATGATGAAAAAACGGGAGTAAGTAGTAGTAGAGATGTCTTCAATAAGAAACAATGATCCAACATGCATCACGTTTACGACTAAGCAAAAAAGACTAACTACAACCCTGAGTGGTGGTGCCTCTATACTGGATGATCTACACGACATTAAATGCGTTTTCTGCGAGCTCTGCTCCAGCAGGAAAAGCGGTCTACAAGACATTAAATGCGAGTTCTCTACTAGTCGTGGAAGACATTAAATGCGAAAAAGGCAGTGCCAATGAATCGATTCACTTATTTTAACATAATCTGTTCAAAAATGTTGTAGCCTGCGAGCACGACTGCGCAACCGATCGCGGAGTCGCCCATGATACGTGCTAAGAATCTTGATACAGCACCTTCTTGCTGAGAAACAGCTTTGTCAGGACATGAAGAAACGGATGAAGCTGCGATCGCTCATTTTTTTATGATATCGATATCCATCATCTTGATCTCCTACTTTGCTGTGATGTTCTTGACTAATAAAGCTGTGCATGACGTCGAAGATGATTACTATCACATTGCATCTTCTAGTACAACTTGTATGGTTTTGGTATTTGGTAGCCTGAATTTGATCACAAGGATTCTCTTCTTGTTTTCCTTATCATCAAAATCAGGTAACCAAATGCAAATACCAGGACCATTCACTACTATAACATACTCTCGTGAAAGTTAATTTATGACTCGTCGGGGCCGTGGTGTTATAGCATGGATATTCTTGACGCGTCCTAATGCCGAGGAGCAAAGTACGAAAACATGTTAGCTGTGATCATGATCTTTACCTTTCTTGATAACGTTTTCGTTGTAAGTGCTAAGATGACTACGGAGGTATCAAACAATGCTTAATTTCATGTGACTATGGTGCAACGACGACAAACCTAATAAATTAGAGTATCTCCTATCAATTTGGCCCTTGCGTATTTCTTCATTGAGCTACTTTTCATTAAACATCGAAATGAAAATCTAAATTTCACTGTCCCACCTCTAGGATTTACATTCGGTATGCTCTCCCACCTCTAGGACATTCACATCCCTGTTTGACTTTTTTTTCTTTAAGCACCATTCCATCAATATCACGAGGACCATCATGAAGATGTTGAAGACGATTTTCTTTTTTTTCCGCCTCCTCCTCCGTTATTATTGGTGCAAATTGCGATTTGTTTCCCTAGCACCTCTAACTTCCCCAGAAACGTAGGCTTCCTCAATCCTGTCGCCCCTTGATAGATCAACTCCCATTCACCAGTGTCACGCTTTGGAGGACTTGTAGTTGTAGAAGCTGAATCTTGTTCAGGAGAACTAGTACCAGTAGTAGGTGAACTATTCGGTAAATCCACGACCACTTTCGCCAAATCCTCCATCACTTTTTTCACTAGAGGCGTTGTCACTGGCGTCGAGTAGTCCATGGCTGGCGAGCTGTTTACTTCGATCAGCCACACCTTGAGGTCTTCATCTAGCATGAAATCGTACCCGAAAAGCTCCATGCTGTTCTTGCGATGCTGATCAAGGTTCGGTGGAGGTGACCACGTGGACTCCAAGAAGTGAAAAAATGTTCTTGGAGTGTATCAATAGTTGTGGTCGTGATAATCTGAGTTGTCGTGATAATCTGAGAGAAGGTCAAGAAACAAGGAACGAATTTCGAATTGTCAAATGCGCGCGCCGTCTGCTGCTAGAATAATTAGAAGTAATTAAATATGTCATGTCATGTGCCCTCGATAACTAGTACGTGGTCAAGAAGTAGAAGGATAAAACTACAGTATAAAAACAAGTCAAGAACAACTACAGACCGAATGGCTAGAAAGAAACAGGAGATCAACGAAATCGAAAACCTCGCAATAATCCCCTTTTTGTTGTACTACAACTCATTAAAAATACCTCTATCCCATCCTGCACCGCCAATAGCGACATTTTGACGATTTTGGACATCTCTGGCACTATTTTCGACGACCAGGTATCCACACAGTATTTGGGATCGGGTGGTGGCATTCTTCTTTAGAGGTCCCCACATCGCATTTCATTGCATTCATCTTCAGAACATTCTTTAGATGCTCGTGATCATCCCTGACTTACGAGGAATATAGTTTATTTCTTCTTATAAAAATAGGATACAAAGTCAAGAATGCAATAGCAAGTGTAGAAGTAGAATGCAATGTGGTAACCCTTAACTTCTGGATCTCTGGTATGCCTCATCTTCATCCCTCGTTACTGGCCTTGGATGAGGGGCAGAGGAAGAGAAGGAGGAGGAGGAGCTGGGGAGAGAAGTATCTTGAACTGGAACAGAAGAGTTGTCACTAGAAGAGTTGTCAATAGAAGATGTTGTAGTTGGGTCCTCAGTTGTGCTACCGTGCTCTCGTCCTCCGACGCGTGGTTCAGGTTCTCCAGTTGCATGTTGACTACTACTACTACTGCTGCTACTACCCCCCAGCACCCCGAGTGTCCCGCCGTCAGCATCAGTCGTCGTGCCTTCACAACTGGAGTCTAGTACTGCTCGATTTGGCGTTTCTCTTTCATCTTGGTCTTGTTGTGATGTAGTTGACACGCTTGAAAGAGCAGGAGCTTTGCTCGTACTAGTAATCAGGTCTCCGCCACCTTCCTCTACGTGATGTTGAGCAATATGTATCGGACTTTCCCTCGCTACGTCTTCTACTTTCAGTCCTGCCTCCTCGATAATTCTGCTTTCTCTTGGCGAATAAGGCAGCATCGATTGCATCGTGCTGTTGAAAATGCCAACACTTTTGTCCACAGGCGTCACTCTAGCGGTTCGTGGCGTCGTTGCTATGTTGATTTTCGGTAGGGCAGGAGCTGTTAAAGTATTTGCAGGAGCATTACTATTTTCACTAGTGGTACTAGTTGTGCCTCCTGGTCCTGATATTGATGGTGCTGGTCCAGCATTTGATGCACAGGCTGTAGATGCACTAGTACCATCTCTACTACAACTGCTTGTGCCGACGACGTCTCGACTACGTCTTCCCGCGACTAAAGTTCGGGACGACGGACCTCTACTAGCTGATCGCGCTTGCGGCGTCTCCTCTAGATCGTCCTCCTCATCCTCCTCGACTTCTTGGTATGAAGAAAACTTGTGTTATACGACTACAATGGTACAAATCGAACAAGAAATGTCCAACTGCTATACATAGTGGTAGAAATCAGGTCCCGCCCCAGAAGAACGACCTGAAGATAGTCAGCCTCAATCATACCTCTTGCACAAATTTGACGTCTTCCCACCGCACACCGAAAGTCTCACACGTGAAGGGTGGCTCATGCAGGAAGTCGGGTTGTGCTGGCGAATGGCCATACTTGGCTGCTGCGACGCATCCGATTAGAAGACGAGAACGGTAGTCAAACTCGTCAAACGTCGAGACTTCTTTAATATCCGCTGCTACTGATGATACTGTTGATTGAATTTTATCCTCAAAAGCACACTGAAGAACAACCCCTGTCATAAGTGTGGACAATAGCTATCGTGTAGAAATCTCTGGAATTTTTGGTAGAACCACATATAGTGCTCCGTTTCCAGCTCGTGGTTGTAAGAACCAAAATTGTCCTTATCGTACGCGACGATGGAGTTGTTGACCAGGTGGACGTAAGCCGAGAAATCACTCGTGGAAACAGATTAGATATAGAAATGTTGGAGGACAGGCGGCAAGACAATCAACATGATGAGCACAAGGAACGAGGAGCAACTATGCCACAGAATTTGGGAAACAGGAGAGGAACAAGAGGAGTACTAGAGCGGCGCACCTTCCCCGGGCCCCTAAACCGCCGGGATCTTCTAAACCGTCGGGATCCTCTAAACCATCGGGATCTAAGCCATCCACTGATCTCGATCGTCCATAATATTTGTTACTCGCAAACCTTATGTAAGGTTGTTTCCAGACGTAGACGGTTAACGGGTTCCAATCAGTTACTAGAACCCACTGCCGAATGTCGAACTTATACCCCTTTACTGTAAGAGGTCGTTCAATATATTTCTGCACGATCCACTGTTCGATGTACCTAGGGGGGGAGAGAGGGATGAGGTTGTGGAGTAGTAGTAGTAGTAGTAGTAGTAAACCCAATCCAGGGGAAGAACGGAGAAAGCGGTCGTAGTTCCTTGTAGTTGTTGTATCAGGTAGGAGTAGGACCGAGCAGTCCGAGAATTTTTAAGTGGACGAACGATACTACCAAAAGCGGCATGATCAAGTGGGAACAAAGTCTAAAAAGGGAACAACTACAGTAATTCTTGTGTAAAAGTCTTTTAACGTGACCTCCTGTCGTGACTAATTTTTCCTGTGAATGAATCTTCAGTTCTACTAGTGGGCGAACATCTTAAACGAAGACACGACAAGTTTGAGAATCCACAATGTTAGATACGATATACATAAGGAATTTATAATGAAAGGAGATTACGACACCAGATCAAGAAAGTGATTGATTAGCTTACCAGAGCAAAAAACACGTATAATCATTACTTTCCAACATTGCTAAGCTCCTCTCCATCGTCTGGTGTCCTGGAATACAGGTAGCTCGGCAACGGACCACTGGCAGTCTTTGACAAGATCTCATCCAATTCTCGACACATCTCTATGCCACGACCCCTACTCTTTCCAGCCGGCTTGATAATCCATGTATTTGCTGGGCCGATGAGGCATCGTGACGAGTGCGACGTATGAAATTCATGGAGGACTGAGTTGGCTTCGTGAGCGAGAAACCTGTAAAGAAGATGCTAGAAACTGTTTCTTCTTCTCTTTGCTTTTAGAAGTAGGTAGTCGCTAGTCGTGGTCCTTCTCCTTTTAGTCGTGGTCAACCTCCTTTTTAGTACAACCAGGGTTGAAACAAAGTGAAATATTAGCGAGGAGCGGGCAGGTGGATGTGGACGATGTGGTGAAAATCGGTGAACTTATTGTTCATTGATCTATTTTTATACCGACAAACCGGCCTTTTTGCGAAATCTGGCATGGTAGCAAAATAAGTGATGTCATCCCCCGCGTCTTTCTCGTGTCTCTGCTTCTTTAACTTTTCCTGTCTCTTCAGCTCCTTTGTGCGGATGTCCAGAGGGTTCCAGTTAGAATTTTCTATCAAGATCATGGTTTTTGTGTACGTTCAGGAGGTAGACGTGGTAGTAGTAGAGACAAGTTGTACAACGCCCGCTAGACGCACAAATTCTTGCAACATCCACAACAAGGAGGACGAGGACGCCCTCTACTCCGTCGTGAATTAGATCTAAAACAGCAACATCACCAGTCCAGAAGACTCCACGAGGTCGTGTCCCTCAGGCTCCTGAGCAGAATCAATTATCAAAACACCCTCGCTACACCCGCAGGAGCAGTAAAACTAGTACACCCTTCTTGTTCTACTTCTTGCCATAACATAGTAACAGCTAGCTGAGAATGGTGGGGCGCCGCGCTTTGGCGGCCTTTGCAACCGGTCCAGGACTTGGCTAGGGTCGTCTAGATTAACTCGAGATATATACTTCCACTCGTCGAATAGCATAGATCCTCGTACTTCCGCAGAACCAGGATCATCCAAGGTGTCGTCGTGGTCGAGCAAGGCTCTTTTGCAGACGTGTTTTAGAAGAGGTATAGGTGGTAAGTAGGACTAGCATAAACATTACACGTACATGACCAAGACTACAGGAAAAGGTCTACTCTCTTTTTCCTCTAAGCAGGAGCGATGCGGGAACTACTTCGACTATAATAAGGAGAGAGCGTCGCCACAACTTCGAAGGATAGGATATAGTTGTTGTCCAGCACCAGCATATCGGTATCTTCGCGAAATACTTAGGATAATTGATGAAAAAGAACTACTTCTACAACGAGCTTAGGGTTATTGATGAAAAAACTACGTCTTAGGATTATTGATGAAAAACTACTTCTACAACGAACTAGTTCTACTTCTCATTCTTACATTCTCTTTCGTAACTTCAATGCTATTCTCACTATGTCTTCGCCGTGGGTGTAGAAAGGCGTTATACTTGCATGAAATTTTTCCTGATCTTCATCCTTTCGAACTTCGAATAATTAGAGGTTGTAGGTTTTTGGTGTCCCTCTTAGCCACGCTTGTTATGGCTGTCCCCATCTAAGGGAGAGAGCCATAACAAACGGTAACGAAAGCACCTTTATTAGAACTAGTCGAAATCCATCCTCAGCAGCATCTTGGGTCTCCTTTCCCTTTAAAAACGGGACCAAGATAACAGTGAAGATGGATTTCTTGTACCCTTAACTTTAACTACCTAGCTACCCGTAAAATAGACTAGAGGCACTGGAGCTTGACGAAGATCTCCGCCTTTTCTCCTGAAATTGGTGGACGAGGAGAGCAGCTGCAGATAAAGAGCCCTGTAATGGAGGCGGATCCCCCTCTCGGTCGGTTGCAGTGTCGTCTTTGGCGTCAGAGTCGGGAACAGAGGGGTTAGAGGGGTTTTTAGGTTTGGATTTGCGTAGGAGGTGAATAGAGATAGGAAAACAGGTGAGTAGGAAAATACAAATACGGTTTCGAATTCGATCGGAGAGTGAGAGACATCGAAAAAAAGAAGAAGTGGAAGTGTCGTGAAGATTTCACGCGAACGCGGAGGTGTTAGGTTCAGACGAGGACGATTTCAGCTGCTAGTACGTCAGCACCAGGACGAGATAGTGATAGTTAGAGCATTTATTTTATTTATTTTCCACAAAGAATCAATATCAAGACACATAACTAGAGATGACGACGAGGACGTCTTCCCATTTTTGTTTTTCGTCTTTTTCGGTGAGAAGCTCTTATTCCTCCACTTTTTTGATACTGCAGATACTACGCCGGCAAGGTCCATTGGATTTGCAGAACTTGATTAGAAGTAGCTGCTTATACGCAAATATATAACAGAGCAATTTATAAGGTTCCCCAGCTCGCATGGCATGGAGTGCATGGATCACATGGAGTAGCATGGAGCTAAAGGGGGAGCTTCTTGCGCCCCTTAAAGCTCTGCGCCCCATGCACTCCATGCTACTCCATGCACTCCATGCGCCATGCGTGCTATAAACTACTCTGATATAAGTTCAATTTCCCAAGAAATTGAATGTACTTCGTCGATGGCGTGTTTTCCCCTCAGTAAAGAAGCCAACGGTTTTTAATACAGATGCCTCAACATCTGTCTCGACCGAGATGGGTCTTTCACTCTTAATCATGACTCTTGGAGAACTAAGTACCTCATTTCCCTTTCAGCGGAATCTTTAAATTTCTAGGACATCAAGAAGTCTTAACTCGAGGAACCCCCAGCACCAGAGTGTGCTGGCTTGTTTACCAGTTCCCACGGTTCCTTTTTTCTCAGAAAAGAGTCTTTCCGCTCCCCCTTGGCATTACATCGGTCGAAAGCAGCGAGAAAAGCACAGATATGAAGAGCGTCCTAATCCTGAATCTGAAAACTGGTGTAGGAAACAACAACAACTTGTACCTGCTGGGTGGGTAGTTTCATTTTAAGTTTAAGAACGACTACTGTACTTATCTAAATCTATGTATAAATATTGGAGCAGTTTATAGGGGTGCCAGATCCGAGATGGGATGGATCGGTTCGGATGGATCGGATGGACTTTCCACCATTTCAAGTGGGATCGGAAGAATCAGGGGGGTCCATCCGATCCATCCAAGTCCATCCTACATCCGTTCTATAAACTACTCTAAAATATTCTTCTAAAAGTACGCTTTATGTATATTTTCCTGTCCTCTTCATCACACAATATACGTGGTGAAGCCAAGCTAAGTAGGAAAAGACCGAAAAAAACAAAAGTGATAAGGTACGAGTTTATAGGTAAAAAAATCTTCATAACACAGTATAGATTGGCACTTGGAAATCTGGAAGGCGGTACAGAATTCGGCTTTCTCACGGCTGAGATCGAAACAAAGCGGATAAAAGGCTTCAGAACTAGAGGCTAAGAATTCACTTTCGGCATCACTGCTGCAAGCTCCAGATGCGGTTTGGGTGTATTAGAATCGATGAACAGAACGCGTACTATAGAATCGATGAAGGTGTAGTGGTCTGACCTCTGAGACACTAAGAACGTTCTGAACGTGATTCTTGTTTCTGAACTAGCAACTAAGAACGTTCTCCTTAACTAAGAATTTCTTGTTGCTTGTTCCTTAATTTTCCCCCATCGCTTGATTCACCTTCATCAATTCCTGTGCTGCATCGCGCATCTGCACGCCGTCGCACTGAAGAATGCTATTCGCTAAGTTCCACTTTGTTGTGACGGACTCTATTTTCTGCGTCCTTTAGCGCATTAAATGATAATTGAATGGAAGTGGTTAGGTAGTGAGATGCTTCCTTTCACTTTTAGATGGATGGAACAAGTACTACAGCTGTACTAACCGTAACCCGTTCAGCTTTAATAAATAACAGTCAAAGTAGCAGGATACGGCGACCCTCTGGATACTTCACGCTGTAGAAGTAGATAGTGAATGTCTACCTCGCCTTAAGTTATGGCACTAATCGAGAGGAAGCTGTTCTGTTGTCCACCTCCCTGGAGAGCCCCTAGCTCTGCTTCAATAGTTCCTTGATACAACAGCTCAGCTGCAGTTGTTTTACGTTTTGGAGCCTCCCGATTTCCGGTCGTACTAGTAGTCGTTAGAGATAGGTCTGTCGTGATTGTACAATTAAAAAATAGATTGATTCATACTAGTAGTTAGCAACGTTGGAAGAACATGCTTCTATTGTACCCTCTACGAGACCATTCTAAATGCTTTTTCTTACTCTTGAAGGTGGTCGCTATTCCCATTCATTGAAGATAGAAACTAAGTAGGACATCGTCGATCTCTGACGTGCCATACATTCCCGTTCCCCTCTGTGGTCGCTTTTGACGTAGCCCTACTCGACGCACTGAAAGATGACCCTCTAGCGGACATTGTAGTACTACCACTACTTCCACCTGAAGAACTTGACCCGGATGCGGTAGTACTCCCACCATCTCCATCATCTTTTTCTTTGGCACCGCTACCAGTTTCATCTTCTTGGTCTTGTAGCTTTGCTGCTGCTTCTTGATCTTTCAATCTGGCTGTCCTGGCCGTTCTATACACTGTATTTCAAACCTTAGAGCTCGAAACAATTCACAACTTCTTCCCGTTATTCATCTTATCTTATTTGTAATTTGTTCAGAACCCTAAGAAGTTTAGCAGGAGAAAATGTTTTAGTTTTTTCTTGGAATGAGTAACTCGTTGCGCCTTAACAACCGGTGGAAGCCAAGCAGCATTACTTTTCAGGTTCATCGTCAAACCAAGCTTCGTGGTGATCTCTCGATTGCGTTGAAAGTGGTTAGCTGTTTGATTTGCATCCGCTTAGAGCTCTCCCTAAATCATCTTCCCTGTAGCATCCTTGAAAAGTATGAGGGAGTCGGACGGAGTCGTATTTCCCTGTAATACTCTCTCTTTTGCCTTTGACCACGTTTTGTCAAATAAAATGGAGGTAAAGTCCCCCATACTACTTTTCAACGATCCGCATCCGCCCGGTCAAAGATGAATTAGTATTACCTACAGCCTTAATCCAATCTATCGTAGTCGATGTCGCCAGCTTTCAGGGTGAAGATGAAATCAAAAAACCTCGACGTCGGATCCGTGTTCTCGACCCAGCCACGATTCAGCAACGCCCGCCTCATGTCAGGGTATCCACCGACTATGATAAACACGTTTTTCTCCTGTGTGCAGTGATTCCTCCTCTTAGAGAACGAAGCTGAAAACAACCCACGAGCCCTAAGCCCTCCGACTCCCGCACCCGGGAGCTACAACCCATCCATGAAGATGACACGGTCAAGACGATCTGACGAAGCTGACGATGCTCACTGCTGTCCGTTTTGACGAGGTACAAGGCATCCAGCCTCAAATCCTCAAACCTGTCTTCGCAACCCTAGCCAAGCCTTAATCTTCCGCCAATCCCGCATACTCGTACAGACTTTACCCATGTTTCGCTGCCACAAACTGGTCATCCTCTTCATCTGCGGAGATTGGTCTTTGCCCTGTTGCATTGCCATTTTTAGAGGGAAAACCTTTAGTAAGGGAGACTGAGGAAAATGGGCTAGTTACAACTGCAGAGCGCCGCGACCCCGAGGCCCGACGGCCCACAAACTGGTCATCCTCTTCTGCCATTTTTAGAGGGGCAGGGGTTTATAATTATCAATCTGTGAGGACTCTACAGTACAGTATCAACAAGTAGGCCTTAGTCTCTTCATCTTTGGCGATAACGAAGCTTGCATTTTCGGCGATAACACTGAAGCAAAGGCAACCCCTGCATTTCCTTGCAACAGATTTCCGTCTTTGGCAGGTGGAAGAGGCAGTTGCTGAGGGTTCGCACCTGGTGGTGAGTATCCTGTGTGTAGTTCTGCGGACGTCGCTGTTGTTCCTGTTTCAGTTCCGCCACTTCGATCTCCACTACTAGTACTATTTTTGCCACCACGTATTTCCGCTGCTCCATTTCTGTTTGACAATGCTGCTGTTGGGGTACCAAAATGAAAATAACAAGAACTACTACGACTACCTAGAGCATTAAAAAGGTAAAAACATAAAAAGACATAAGTAGACGTCTCAGTGAATGATCCTACAGTAGACATTGACCTGGCACAGCAAGCAACATTACATAAATGATCCAAAACGAGTTATCAATTCATACTCATGACTGGCCATAGGTAGAAGATCGACGTCTCGAGGATGAAGATGCTCGTGTTCGTGAATCTGGTTGTTTCAACATGTTCAGCCTATTTCGAGCACCGCTGCTGGGACGTTCTTGAGCTTGATTAGAGTCTGCTAGATTGCATCTCGGCCCCCTCATCTTGACCCCTTGTGCCTTGTATTTCATGAGAATACAAGGGAAAAGGGTACCAAGATGCCAAGAAAGATGGACACTAAACGCTGACCTTAACTTGAGCTTGGTCATCTAGATCACCTACATCCTCATCTAGAACGACGTTCGCAGAGATGGTCGAGCTGCTTGTGGCAGAAACGCTCGTACTTGTATTAGCAGAAATTGCAGTAGTCGTCTTGGACGAGCTAGAAGTAGTAGTAGACGTATTGTTCTTTCCATTACTAGTAGAAGATGTAGTTTTTAAAGTTGTTGAAGTACTAGTTGTAGACTTTGTAGTGGAGGAGGAGGTGGTTCCTGGCAATTGTTTCTCGCTCGTCTCTGCCACCTGAGGACCAGAAGTTGCAGAAGTAGACTTACGCTTTTTAGTCGTCACTTGAAGATCTTTTCTAAGATGCTGACGATCCGTAGCACCACCAACAGCAGAGGTCGTTTCTTCTGTACTAGATGAAGATGCGGAAGACGCTGATGTAGCGACGTTGGACTTAGAGGTAGGTTTTTGGTGCTCGCGGGTTCCCCCGCTTGTTATGCCTTTCTCATCCTAAGGGAGAGAGGCATAAAAGGCGGTAAGAAAAGCACCTTTAACCTACCCTTAATGGACGGCTGTTGGTCCGCGACCACACCATTAGTGGTGAAAGTAGTGGATGCCCGTCTGGATTGACTTGGGTCGCTGAAGCAGATACCCCGCTGAGAGTAGTGGATGCCCGTCTGGATTGACTTTTTTGAAGCAGCTGTTGAGTCTTTTGCGGTGCCGGAGGCTGACGACGAAGTGTCCCCCCAGGACTTCTATGAAGCGACCGACGATAAAAATCAAAATATCTATCAAGAAATACGAAGAAAATTTTTTTTTGAAATACATCAAAGAAGAAGGAACTACTAGTACTACGTAGGCCGCGTAACTTGTTCTAATTCTATTTTATCAAAAACTCCGCAGCTAGTATAACCTTGTAAACCTTAGATAATTCCATTGGAGCCCTAACTAGAAAGAGAAAAAAATCAGAACAATCAGTTAAGTACTTAGTGATCTATTCATCAAGAAAAACATACTGCACCATAGACATAGAGCTTCTCTACAAGTCTAAAAAATGCCTCAGCATAAATCTCCTAGAACTCCACTTGTCGTGGTCCCCGTCGACGTGGTTTGCTCAAGTACGGCTTTGTTCCGATTCGTCATTACGTTTGTCCAGTGCACCAGAGTGGGCGTTATGCTCTTCAACTGCTCCGTTGTTTTTGTTAGAACTATAGTACTAGTTGTAAAAATGCTAGTAGGAGTGGAAATCGAACATTCAATTGCCTCAACCCGTTGTTGTTGCACTAGTATTAATAGTAGAAGTAGATGCTGTTGTACAAATTCTAGTATATAGTAACTGGTTTTCAAATTAATGTACCGGAGGTACTACTACTTCTCTACGGATGTTGACACCAAAATAATCATTCCTACTAAATCCTATTACTAGTGTGTAGCTTTCTTGATTGCAATACTCGTGTGTAAGTAGCCTGCTTGGTTGCAATAATAGTCTGTAGCTTTCTTGATTGAAATTGCTTCATCCCTATCATTGAAAGGTCTTAACTTTGGGATTTTCGGAGGCGGTTTTCCAATATAGCTGTTCATGCGGTCTTCGTGGTTGTTCCCATCTGCCTCTCCCTCTTGTTCGCATTTTGTTTTTGCACTAGTGGTCGAATTTTATTACTTAGACTCGTAGATTAGTCTACAACTTGATTTGGTCCTCTTGATTTGCTCCCCTTGTACTTGATTTGAAGTTAGAATCTTAAAGGAGAAGGAAAAATGATATTCGATAAGGACATTAGTTCGAATTTTTCTCGACGGCATCGGCAACGCAGCTATCACATTTGTTTCTTATGTTGAACGAGTAGTCTAGCTCTAGTTGTAACATTATAAGCTGTACTACTCCTGTGGGTTAGGGTTATAACATAAGCTCCTGTGGCTGTCCTTCTCCTGTTCCGCCCATCATCTCGGTGAAGACTTGTCTCCTCGCTTTATGCATCGCCCAAGCTAGTTTCAGTTTCTCAATCTTAGAAACAAAATGACTCTACAGTCTACTGTAGTATCTATATAAAATGAATCGACAGAGAAGAAATCGTCTTCCAAGAACTAAGTTCTTTCCCTGAACATGAAGCCGATCATGAAATACAACTACAACTCAAGGTCAATAACAACTTTTTCAATTCGTATCGAGAGCCCCGCATCTCCTTGAGGAAATGGTCTACGGATATTTTTTTTCTTCATAGGACTACATGCTGCCGCCCATCCAACTACATAAAAAAACCCCACTTAAAAAACTTACATACCGGGAGAGCCAAAAACTACAACAATCGGAGAGTCACACAACGCTAGCATATATGTCGATGCTAAATGTCATCATCATGATCAACTCAACTAGAACAATAGTCAGCGGCCAACAGGCCCATGCATTTTCTCGAGACTTGTGTTACATCTTCTTATGTCCTCTCATCTTCCACCATCACCTTCTTCTACGACCTTCTTCCACCTTCGTCATCAACATCCAATAAGAGCGGCGATCATCTTAGTACTCAACGCTTTACTTTACCCATGCGAACACGTGCCTATGACCTAGTGTAATTATGAATGAATGAATGGACCCATTCTAAATTGGAACAATTCGTGTATTTCCATAGTCTTCGTCTTCTTTAGACGTTGCTCCTCCCGCTTTTGTCTGGCTTTGCGGATAGCGATCTCAGCCGCATCCATCTCGCTTGTGGAGGACATCTTGCTGTTGTTCCACTTTTAGTTAGACACTCTTAGACATGATACTGGACTGCGACTGACGGTAGTTTCTTCTGATGTAGACGAGTTCTTTCTACTTCTACTTAGTGTTTTTATCCATAGAAATCTTAGAGCTGATCCTAGTCCCACGTGTGCAGATCCGTCTGCACTTGTCTCACTCTCTACTCCGTCTCACTTTTTTCGTCCGTATCAACCTACTTAGAGTACAAGAGGATGCAGCACTAGTTGCAGAAGTTCTTGATGATGTTAGTCGGTTTGGATTGGACCTACGACTTCCCTGAATCTTCTTTGACATCTGTAAAAGTTCTTATACATCACCTGCGTTTCCTGAGATCATATGAGTATTAGCTTTCTTCGTGTGTTCTTTCTTCCATCGCCCCGTTCATTCTAGGTGTAACTATGCTTCTTCGCGAAATCGTGTGGTTCTTGCGACAGTGTTTCTTTTAGAAAGGGCTGCTTCTTTTCTTCGACGTGTTCTTTTTTTTTCGACGTGTGTTCTTTTAGGTGTATCTCCACGGACGCGGAGTATCTCCACAGACGCAGGCGATTTCCGAACAGGTAAATTTCTCCTGCAATCAGAATCATCAAGCGAGTCAACAAAGTTCATCATTTTGTTGCATGCTTTTCTTGTCAAGAATTTTCAAAAATTTTTGGAAGCAAGTTAGACTACTAACCCGGTAGTGCATGGAGTCTAGATGTAGTCCAGCAACTGGCTCTTCAGCTCCGTATCTGTGTACTCCATTTTTGTGGTCTGTCGTCGTCAGTGTCAGCAATGAGTAGGTAGCTAATACATGTTAAAAAGTAAGCGGATGGCAGATTCTGGGTATTGGGCTCTTCCTCCTCCAGTGAATGAACACGCTAAGTACCAAAAGTCTTCTCGGGTTGAGTGGTGTTTATTCAAATGCATAAAACGCCTGTTGAAAAGGAAAGGGCCAAAGCGTTTTTGTCTTGTGTGTGTTTTCAGTGCGTTGTTACTTAAGTCCGTTTTCCTTTTAAACACTTAATTACTCAACTAAATCACTCCAAGGCTTTGGCTTTTCTTATGGCTCAACTCTCAACAGATCGCCAGCAAACAACGCCAACAGATTGGCGCAGTGTGGATTTCTCTCACACCCGCCAACCTAAAAGCTTGCGACGCATGACAGTGGTCAGATGTTTTGCGAGCAAGGTTGATTTAGCAACAAGCTAACAGTGCTCGGCAAACGTATACAACGACAAACAATGTGAAAGAGAGTACGAAACTACGCCAGTACTATAATGCAAATCACTATCGCGGAGAGTGCGACGAGCCAGCTTAAAGCGTGTCTTCTTTACGTGTTTGGTGCTTTTCTTTACTTGTTTGCTTGTGTAGTTTCACTGACTTACTGCTACTACACTCTTTTGTAAGCAAACTCTTTTGCAGCTAGCCTTACGAGCCAACGCTAAGGGGTTAAATTGTCAACAGTCTCAAGTAGTAAAAAATAATAAGTCGTTCTAGACGCACAAGGTAGAGTTTGTTGGTTTATACGCTAGAAGAAAAATGTAAGTCAGCTCTGCCGTAACCGCTGCGCTCAAGGCGCTTTGTACAGCTTGCCTCGTCGTAGCGACTTTATGAACAAAGGCAAAGCGTTGGCCTTTAATTTAGTTCCAACGTCCACAATGTTCAAAGTTTTACCGCGCAAGAATTTAAGAGCAAGCCTGTTAGTTACTGGCGAACGCTTGACGTAGCGTTCCCCAGATGAGACTGCGTTCATTCTTGGATTCTTGTGCTTGTTCGAACTCTTTATGTGAGTTATTGCCGAATTGTTATCGTTAAAAGTGCAAGGCTTAAGTTTACTGCACACTACTTGCATTTCAAGAAGATATTTATATATATATTAGAACAGTTTATAGGGTAGTCAAATCCGGGATGGGTTGTGTCGGATGGATCGGATGGATCGGATGGACCTCCGAAAACCGTCCCGAACGCGACAGCAGGTCCATCCGTTCCATCCGTTCCACGCAAAGCAGGTCCATCCGATCCATCCGTTCCATCCGATCCATCCGATCCATCCGAAGGCTGCTCCTTTCGCTCGCGATCACACAATCCAGGATGCCGGGCGTCTTCGTTCCGTCAATTTCGCAGGTAATACTGAGTAGCCGCAGCACAGCAGGGCAAAGCAAGAGCTCCACGAGAGCAGCAACGATCTTCGCACACGAAGCAACGTCAAGGGTCACAATAAATATGGGGCGAGGGAATAAGCAGTCCTGACAACCAAGTAGAGGTAGAGCGGGAAAAAAGCAAAGAAAGGCGCGCCAGGCAGGGTGTGGGTGGAGAAGGGGGTGTGGGTGGAGAAGGGGGTGTGGGTGGAGAAGGGGGTGTGGGTGGAGAAGGGGGGTGGGTGGAGGAGGTAGATAACTCAGCTAATCTATCAACTACAGCGTGGCTGGGGAATCTACACTCTCACGCATGGTTACCGACAAGTAATTAATTGCCTTTCAGAGCCTCAGGCATGCCATGAGACTCGCGGGCACCTCTCAGAATAGCGCATGCGCATCTCGGGACCCGCAGGCCAAGCCACGGGCGCCACAATGAGTGTTATTCTATGAAGCCACCACTTACACCTGGCGGCGCTGGAGGCTTTTCCTAGTGCTAGAAACGAATTTTGATAGAAAATTAGTTAGCTCTGCTAAATAGGGGTGGTCAGACGGGTCGGCAGTGGGTCCATCCGATCCATCCGTTCCCCCCTCCAGGAGGTCCATCCGATCCATCCGTTCCCCCCTCCAGGAGGTCCATCCGATCCATCCGTTCCCCCCTCCAGGAGGTCCATCCGATCCATCCGCCCCCCCTCCCGGAGGTCCATCCGATCCATCCGACCACCCACTTGAAAAACCAGGGAGGTCCATCCGATCCATCCGATCCATCCGAGTACCACCCACATCCGTTCTATAAACTGCTCTAATATATAATTACACAGCCACATCAAATGATGAATTTTATAATCAGCGCAACTTCTTCGTAAAACCGTACTATTCCACTGCAGGCGCGTCATCCTCATCGACGATATGGATATGTTTCATAGACAAGATTCTTAATAGTCTTCATCATCCTTGTTATGTTCTTCGTAGTAGTTAGCCTCTTCATGATCCCGCCAGTAAAACTCGTCGTCATTCTTGACTTGTTCTTGGCTAAAAGTAATTTTTCTAGAGCAACCTGAAGAAGAGCCGAGTGGCGTTCGCAATCGCCTCGCTACAGGAAGTCTCGCTCGTCACCTAATCGTAATCATGGAGCTGTCGTCCTTGTGGAGGTGTGTTCTACTCACCATTAAAAAGGCTATTTAATACTATCTCTCTCGCGGAGCCCGCGAGTTCCTGCAGCTTCCACTTTATACTGCCTGCTTTTACGCTTTCGTTAGCCTTGGATAAGAACTCTGCCTTCGCTTTGAGGCCATCCCCAGCCTTCTCCAAGACTTCGAACTTCGACTGTTCGCGCGTCATCATTTCCATCACAGCAAGGATGAACGCCTCGTCCTCTCTTAGTAGAGCTGTTTCGGAGGCAAGCGCAAGATCGAAAACCGGCAGCTTGTACACCGCATCCGGGTTCGAGAATTCGCTTCTGTCCACAGGAGCATCGTCATCGCTAATACACTTAAGCATGAAACTCGCGTTGCTTCGGAGTTCAGGACTGGCGCTCTCCAATATCTTGACTCTAGGGTCGACCTCATCGTCATGGCTTTGCACGCTTTGCCCATCGTCCACACCGTCACGACTTTGCACGCTTTGCATGGCCCAAGAAACGAAATCTACTTTACCCTTGAGGCCAATCCCAGCGCCGTTGAAAATATCGACTTTCTGACTCGGTGTCGTCATGCTTTCAATAACGCCGCGAACGAATTCTTCGTTCTCTTTGAGGCCAATCCCAGCGCCCTTGAAAATATTGACTTTCTGACGCGGTGTCGTCATGCTTTCAATAACGCCGCGAACGAATTCTTCGTTCTCTTTGAGGTCCTTACCAGCGCCATTGAAAGTCCTGCATTTCCCATCCTTGTCCGTCATGCTTTGAATAGCCCAAGAAACGAAATCTGCATTACCTTTCAGGCCATCACCAGCGAGCATGAAAATACTGTCCCTCTCCCTGTATAACGCCGTGCTTTGCATAACCCAACGAACGAACTCTTCGTTCCTTTTGAGGCCAGCACCAGCGTAACGGAAAATCGCGAGTTTCCAACTATCGTCCGTCATTCTTTCAATCACATGACGCATAAGCGCTTCATCATCTCTGGAGGGTGAGGACGTGTCATGAAGCTGTGCATACTTGAGCGCCCTTTCCAAAGCTTGGAATTTCCATTTCTCCGAATACTCGGCACTCTTCAAAATTGAGCGCATGAGATCCTTGTTGTTCCAGATGACTTTTCCCACGAGCACGACCTCTCCCCTTATAGACAATAGGGTTATTAATTTCTCGTCCCCTCCACGCGTGCTCTTTTGTTCAATAGCTTCACGGAGGAACCCTGTGTCACTGATCAGTCCATCGCCTGCATATTTCAGGAGATCGCCGTCTTTTTGTACAGCTTCCAGCACCGTATCGCGATCGTTCCTTAGGCTCAATTTGACGAATTTGAGATTCTCTGCGTTTATCTTAACGGCCATCTTCTGCTCGTCCTCCGTACATTCTTTGGCCGCAACTGCGTTTCTCTCCCTTGACAGCATCGCCCAGGCCTCACCGTGGGTGTGTATTGCCTCACAGAACCTGTCACGGGCTGCTTTAATGAGATGGGTCAATATGTCGACACCGGGCTTCTGTCTGGTCAAAGAACTTTCCTCAGGGGAAACTTCCTCCGTAGCTGTAGCGCGTCCCTTTAGAGAATCCTCGAGGACCCCCTGCCAGCACTGCGGGATATTGCGGAGTATTTCCACAAGCTCTTCCTTCTTCGTTTCCTCGAGATGGTGAGAGGGCAGTGTGGCAGCAATGTCGCCCCAACTGCTCTCGGACAAGGCGGGGAGGGTGGCGACGTTGGCCTCGTTCCCGGCTGCCAATAAGAAGACCCTTCGTAACAGTGGGGCGTCATCAGCGCACCATTTCGCTGACACTTCGCTGAGATCTTTGGGGTAGCGAGCAAGAAAGCGCTCGAGGAAGAAAGCGTCTTGCTTCAGCGCGTTCTCCACGAAAACCGGGTCGCTGCCCATTATCTGCCACACACCCACGCTTTCGAGAACGATCTGCACAGGAATGTCTTCCGGAATAGAACCACGCTGGACGAAGCACTTTGATGCACTTTTCGCAGTTGAGGATGCCATCAACATCCCCGTATTGAAAGCATCCCGCAGCAAGCCTTGCGGAAGCATCCGAAACACGCAACACTGCAACGCCCGACTTGTTACCGAGAGATCGGCTCCTTCACCCGAAGGCAAAACCCCTTTCAGGACAATATCCCAAAGGCTTTCGGGCTGCAAGGCACTACGACCTATTTCCTCCACCCTGTCGGCGATCGAACAAACAGCAGCGGGATTCTTTTTCAGAATGTCGGTCTTTTCTCGTACCCATTCTTCTTTCTCCTCTTCGCTCTCGGCTGTCTCGTGTTTCCGCAAAAGGATATCCAGTTCTTTCTTGGCCAGGTCTCCCGTATATTTTTGGTCTTGGAAACGCACCAGGAATTTTGGCAAAACGGTGCCTTCCGTATGGGCAAGAAGAATCTCACGGTGCTCATTGTATTCGGCAACCTGTTTCTCGCCTACGCCGTTGACAACCAACGCATTCGGTGTTCCGTCTTGTTCTAGGAGCTCTTTTGAATTTGCTCTCACACTCACTCCCACATATTCGCGCGGCTTCCGACCCAGCAAAGCCTGTATCATCAGAGTGTAACCCGGAGTGCGAATGGTATTTCCAGAGTCCCCCTCATAATTTATCAGATTGGCGTACTGGATCGCCTTGATGGCTTGGTCGGTGGTGTAAAACGCAGTGCCAAACTTGCCGCGTGCGGCTATAGGGCCCGACGTCGCGATCAATAGCGCAGCCTGTTCCGTAGTTCCATGAAACACGAACATCTCGCCAGCTGACTTTGCCAGGCTCACGTGTGGTCCATCTGCCGCTTGTTCCATCCATGCTGCGACTGCTTCTGTGTAGGGCGGGGGGACCATTACGTCAGCAAGGGAATCCTGTACGAGCAGCGCCGCGTCGGCATTCTCGGTGGCTCCTAACATTCGGGACCGCATTTGTTCGTAGTTTTTCTCCATCACAGGGTCGGCAACCTTCTCGATGCTGTATATAAACAGGCCATAATCCGTCCCGTCGCCAGCCTTATACCGACCCCTATTGCAGTGTTTGTTTCCCGCTTTAAAGTCTTTCTCGATGGCATTCCACAGGTCGCTGTCTCGTATCACGAACGACCCGAGGGGCTTCTCGTCGCTGCCCAGGAGCGGGCTTCTGCTCCGCGGAAGCCCGACGCCCCCAACATTATCATATGTAGGAGAGTGTTCTTGATGAATTGCATATCGCGAGAGCGGGCCCTGGTAAGCCGCCAACTGATGGGATTTTTGATAATTAGAGAATATAACTAAAATCCACGATGGAGCTAGATTAAATAAAAATAATGGAGTATGAGTCAGATTGATGTAGGTATTAAATAAAAATAATTCAATTCGTTGCGCGACCTTTTTTGTATATCGCGATTATTTTTTCGTTAGGACTAGATGCTGCCTCCCTACTAATCACGTAAACAACTTCTAAGCACTTACATACTGGAGGAGTATAAGCCCGTAAGCCAACGGCCACAAGTTCAAGAAGTCTACAACTATCGGAGAGCAATCGACGCTAAGTCACATCGGCTTTATTGCTCTGATGAGCCCTAGGAGTAAAGGCAAGGAACAGTTGCACACCTAAATAATCTACCAGGCGGGAAGCAGTCCGCCTCACTTTTTCACTAGGTGTGACTCCAATTGATATTCAATATCAGCATGCTCTACTAGTACTACTTGAGGTAACAATAAGAATAAAACTTCTCTACGGACGCCTTAATATTCAATATTAATATATATAAAAGTATGGCAACGCAAGTCGGTAGAATTAGCTTGGTGCTGTAGTACCTGTAACAGGCTGCCGTCACTCGTGTGCACCTCATCAAGCGAACCCCGAGTAAGCGCGGCATTGCCTTTAGAAAATGGCGCGGCAACGACTCCGCCAGCGCCTGCAGCCGCAACCACAGCTCGACCTCCACCAAGGCTGGTGCTGCCGCCTCCACCACCACCAGAGCCGCCACTTCCACCCGCGGCAACAGCGGAAGATACAGCCGAGTCGGCACGCCTGGCTCCACCAGCAGGAGAAGGAGCGGAAGAAACAGCAGAGACGGCACGTCCGCCAGAGGCGGGAGCAGCAGAGGCGGAACGTCCCCCGCCAGTACGATGCACAGCCTTATCTTCAGCCGAAGAGCAACACCCAGGGCATCCAGGGGACTCGCCCTGCTCTTTCTTATTCGCGAATTTAAGAGACAACCCCGATTCCATCATGAGGGTCAGGGCCATCCACGTCAGCAAGCAGTGCCCGCCAAGGCTGTGCTCGCCTGAGCTGTGTTGACGACTCATTTTCATTTCGTTTTCGTAACTTCTACTTCTACCTAGAGATGGATTACGTCGATACGAGTCCGTGTAGGAACGTCGTAACTAATGGTAATTGGAGCGGAACCTAAAAAACAATTGTCACACTACTAATACGGAAAGAGTCAGTCGGTCTAGTAACTTCGTCTCTTTATCGACGAAAGTGATAGATAAGCAGGATAGCAACTACTTCTACTTTGAGGACGAAGGTGCAGACTGCGCCGGTTAATTACATGTAAAACAGGTTTGACAACAGGTACTACAACTTCTATTTCAATAACGACCTCGTCTCGGAGTATAAGCACCTATGGAGACCACGCGCTGCAATTCACGACTAGCGAGTGAGTGACAGAATGTATCCACTCGAGAGGTCTGTTGCTCTTTTCTATTCAGTGTCCGTCGGTCGTGTTACTACTGTTACTGTACGAGTAACAGTTTTTACTATCAAGTTACCCCGTTCCTCGTGATCTTAGACTCATAAGTGATAGACTGCAAGTGCAATTCTTTAACATCGAAACTTAACAATACTAGACC